GAGAATGATAATTTAGAACACGATTAGAAAATTAATGGCAAATCAAAACCTGAATACTGCTGAAATTTCCAAATTTTTCATGCTCACAACTGGAATTTTTCGATGAGTCCTGATTTTAGGAGGAAAAAAAAGTGGTGGCTATAGTTGGACTGTTGTCAATAATCCTGGAGGCTGAGTTCTCCGAGTTAGAGCACTCCTCCTAGTGTTTGCAATGCACTGAAAACTATACCTATTTTCCAACTCGTTGAGACAATAAGTTAAGATTTAGTGAATTAAATCAGAGTTAACTTGAGATCAAACTAGTGAAATTTTTTTTAAAAAAATAGAAATTGATTTAGATTCTCAATATGCCACCCAAAACGTTAAATATTAATTTAATACCTTGAATCTCTGACAAAATAACCATATACTTATATTTTCTTTCCAATTTTTCCTACAATTCTCTTGACAAAATTGACATCATAATATCATATTATTAAAATCATTAAATATTCATTCTAGCAAAATACCAAAATAGATTTGTGGTAACAAAATATTCCCATCTACAATCCTTTAGTCACTAAACTGATCCCTCTAATCTTTTTTTTTATAAGAGCTTGATGATTAAATTATGCGGTTTTAAAAATTAGTTAAAAGTAATAAATATATAAAAAATGAATTTTGTTTACCAAGTATGCCCTTATTCAAAAGGGAACAAGTAAAAGAGAGAAATAGAGTAACAGTGGGAGAAAAGATGAAAGAGAGTGTAATATGACAAGTTGCCAACCATGCAATTAATGCAATATAAAAAATTAATTACGGATAAACCTGGTAAAAATATATTAAATGATTAGATAAAACCCAGCAGGATGTTATAAAAAGGATCAGGGTAATCCAAATTTCGGGCTCTTATGAAAAGGACTGAAAGGAGTAATATTTTTGCATCAAAACAAACTTTTGTTTTTTTTTTTTAAATGATGCACACACAACTGGGTTAACCTGCTAAATTAGTCAGGCTAACGGGTTTTTTCCTGGTTGACTTTCAATGGGTCGCCCGTTTTTCGTCGACGATCAAACCAGCCGGGTGACCGGTTTTTGGTCTGATTTAGTTTTTAACAATGTAAGCATTTGCAATCACGTCTGCTCTCTTGGCGTCTCGCCTGCGCAAGTCATCCCTCGTCCTGGAACACAACTCTGCTGCTGGCAAAACCATCTACCATTGTAATGCTAGCATGTTCCTTCTCTATTTACTCCTTTTTTTATTTAAATAATTTATCGTGCATGCTTCTCAAACTGCTTTCCTAACGCGCAGTTGCACGGTCCTCTGCAATTTGTATAAATTGATGAACGCTACTCTATTATTATATAACACTAGTTACGAAATCTCAAGCAAGAGATTAAGAATTCATAAAGTTATAGTTTTTTTGGAAGAAATATGTGGTGGGTAACAATCAGAACAAAGCGCGTCATTTTTGCGCATGCGTGATTTAAATTTGGGGATTAAAAGCCTCGCTGTGGAGCGCCGAGAATGAAACGGGCTTGCACATCGGCCCATCGGTTTACGCGAACAAAAAGGGAAAGGTGATCGGAAATTTATAATGAATAATAAATGAACACACTTGGGCATTGGCCCTCCTATGTCTTTTTTTTGGTACAAATGGCCCTCCTATGTCATGCGTGATTGACAGGGGCTTTGTCCTCTTTTTTATCAAAACAAAGGAAAAAAAAAAGAGAGTGCACTTGGGCATTTGCCCTCGTATGCGCCAAAGGTTTAAAAAAAAAAAAACGGAAGAAGAAGAAGAACGGCGAACGCACTAGGTAGAGACTTACAAGAAATAGATTGTTGTTGTTTATGGTTTGGGTTGGGTGGAAGACAAAATGAAGATAGGCATGATCAGAAGGAACAGAAGGCAGTGTCCCCCAACATGCCCACATCATCCACTGTTTCCAGGCCCTTCTCTCCCCACGCCTCCCCCCCCTCTATGGACCACCCCTACATTCTCCCTCCCCTCTTTTTTCCCCTTTCATCATTCCCTTCCCTTTCTGCCTTTCTTTCTCCCTCCTTTCCCATTTATTTCTCTTGTTGCCCAAATCCTGAAAAGAAAATTGTCAAACTCGATAATAATTTCAATCATTTGCATGCTTTGTAAAGCTCCTACAATCTAGTTTTGTGTTTCATTAAATAATGTTATTGTTATCTCCACTCCCGCCACCAGGCATCGCCCCAGGGGCAGCATCTTGAAATCATTATTTTTATATAATTATCCGCAGTACCCGAGATTTTCATAGTGTGAGCTGACGGGACATCAAAGTGAGACGGACAAAAGTTCGCAACGCATTTACGGCGACGGGGCTACACCTTACAGCTGATGCATCATGGACGACCACATCTTTTCTTCTTAATCACCGTCAACTGTATCTGTTGTCTTAACAGTTACTACATTAAAAAAAGGTTTGAGGAAAGTGGAAAGCAGTGGTTGCATGTGCGAATACGAAAAATACTGGAGCAGGGCAAGAAAACAAAAGGGGTGTTTGGATTCCCCATAAGTGTTTTTTAAAAATACCTTTTTGTAAATCGAAACGAATTTATTCACATATTTATTTCATATATCATAAAATCATTTGTAAAATTATGATTTAGTTTTCATCCAAACACCTTCAAAAACGATCTGCTGAACTCAGATGGTAAAGCTTATTACTAAGACCAGGCAGGCTGGGGGTTAGTTCTCAAATTCCGAAAAAAATAATTAGGATGCGGCATGGATGAATGAAAGCAAAGGCTAATTGACAGTCATGATTAGGAATGAGGCGCGTGACACCCTCTGCATCAAATAAAAATGTAGTGAACACTGGGACCTAGTCAATGTGTGGATCCCTTGCTTCTGAATTCATCATATGATAAATCTTGACCGAAATGCTTCTTCTTTTCTTTCTTTTTTTGGGGGGGGGGGAGGGGTGTTCCTCCTCGGGCTCACTTTGTAATTTGTGATTTTCCAAAATTCTGTCAACTTTACTCTTTTGGTGCCGCTACCACACTAGCAGTACATAACCCGGGAGGTCTACCATTTGGTCACGCGACGTCCGAAGGACTGGGCCTAAAATCTCATGTCTGTTCGCGCACTCTTACTATCACAGTCAGCGTGCCCAATAATAAATGCAGAAGGAATGGGTTGGAGAATTTGGAAGAGGGCACCGGAGCCCTTGCTTGATGGATGGTTGTGATTAAGTGAGGCTCCTACCCGTTGCTTTGCCATTGCCGTGGATGGGTTGCGGGCCCCGCATGGCTCCCCTTTTTGTGTGTTGAGATTGCGCATATCCGCAGTGCGCATGCTCCTGCCCCCAACCACTCACCAGGACCCACCCCCCTCTCTTATTCGCCCTCCACAGTCCACACCTTTGACTTGATCAACCCTCTTGTCTTTTTCCCATGAATTCTGCTTGCCTTCATGATCATCATATCCACCTCGTCCCGTTTGGTTTTTGACTTTTTTCTGAGAGGATTGTAACGAGGGAAGACTACTGTTGTTGTTTTTTACATGTTTATCTTATTTTATAAATTAGGATTAAAAAGATGTTTATAAACTATTCTATTGGGTGAAATTATTGCATGACCACCTTACCCAAGTCCCTGCCCTCATCTACCAGTCGAGCGCCCTGCTAGTGGCTCTCTCTCTCTCTCTCTCAATTCTACTTGATACTTTGCAGTTTCATTCAATCTGGTAACCAAGTAATCCTGACAATTGATCACCGGATTTATTAAACAAAATATTACACGCATAATTCACTTTGTCAGAAGTTCACATGGCCCCATGCGCATGCTCACAACTATGCGTGTTTGACCCAAGTATGTCTCTGCGTGTCATGCATTTTCCTTCTTTTTATTCTTATCCGCGTAGCACGCATTAGTTATGATTCTCAACGAATGCAAGACAAATAATACAAAAAAAATTGTCTAGTGTGTGTATTTAATTTGAGTACTATAATCTAGTAAGGTCGTTGATGAATACGTTTTATTATTATGATATCCGTGAAAAGTCATTGCTGCTAAAAGTATTGTCATTTTATTGGGCCAAAAAAAAAAAGGAGGGCGTGTATAGGAAATGATTGTAAATAATGATGAGCCCTGCATGAGTCGTGTAATCACAGAAAAGTGGTGGCCTCCCACGCCAAAACCCGGCCTTTCCATCCCGAATCTCTCATAGTGTGTATATATAAACCAAACACGGCACCGAACATTGCTATTGCTACCATGCTACGTAGAATTGTAAGATGACCCCAACTCCAAATACAAGTGCGCATTAGTGGCATGCAAAACAGTACATCACCTTTTAGTTTGATTAGCATGCTTCAAAAAGTAAAAAGGTCACGACCCTCCATGCAATTTACCGCATCCCTTCCCTTTCTTTAAATAACGTGAGGAGTTCAATTCCGAGTGAAGAGGTGTGCACCGTAATAAAGTTTGGATTGCCGTAAGGGACTGGCATTGATCATTGTACATTTCAAGATAATCCACACATTCCTTGGTGCACAAGTCACTCCACCACTAAATTAAATTAACAAACTAATATAGGCCAGTAAGTACGAGGTCCTTTTCACAATCCCCATAAAGAAAGCTACCCTCTCCCTCCTCTCCTGCGTTTTCTATTACTGGCTTTCATGTTGGCTCAACCCTGCATCCTATCCTTCGTCGCTGATTCTTCTTGTGGGGTTTTTTCTTCCCCTGGTGCTCTTTAAATGAGAAACGCAACCGGTGCAAGAAATGTTAAAAGCGGAAAACGGCGCCGTGATGTGCAGACTCCTTGTCGACACGTGTCAGCCTGCTTTTCGGGGCTTTAACCCGTTGGTTTTTGTCGTGAACCGCACGCGTGAGGAACGGTCAAACATCATCGAGCTCAGAAGCTGGGAAAGCAGTCTTCATTTTCCTATTTCCTTTTGTTTTCCAAAAGCAAACTTTCATTGAAACGCTGCCGCCATGCCATTTTCCGAGAGGGGGAACCTACGAAATATGGGTCTCGAGCTTTCAGAATTTTTGTTTCTGGCATTTTGCATCAGCAAAATAAAAATGTTAAATTTCCGTTACTCGCCAGCTAACATTATTTTCGTGCTTTCAAACTAAAGCTCCCGAATACGTGTATTTGCTCTATATTACGCCACAAATCTTGCTGTCGCTTTCAGCCATGCTGACAATTTATACTATCAATGACAAAGGAAAAAAAAAGTATATACTGATGAAAACGCAAAAAAAAAAAAAATATATATATATATATGCACCATGCAACGTTAATTGAAGCGGGTGAAGATGCGAGAAGGAGCAAAGAATGAATCGACACAAGCACAACCAGAGAGACGAACTGGTGAATTATGCAAATGCATATCCTCGTAATCCACGCGACACTTTAAAAGGTCAAAAGCTGGAGTTTTTTTCCACCCACGTATCTTCTCCCTCCTTTTGTGAATAAGAAAACAAAATATAAATATAAAAAAAATCACGTCTTTAGAATTCCTGCTCTCCCTCTCTCTGTACCGAACTGTTTTCGTGCTCATACAGTCTAGCTCTGCTTTTTCCCGTTTTCATTTTTTAATGGAAAATTTATTGTTCGAGTCTGATTCTTTGCTCACAGTTTAAAGCTGCAAAGGAATCCGGTGTGTACGAAAGTGTGTAGGGCGGGATAGGAGCATGCACACTATTTGCTGTTGGAAGCAAAGAGAAGAGAGAGAACAAGGGTGAGAGGGCTTTGGTAATGGTGCTTTTGCTCGACAGGAAAGAAGGATGGGATGAGAGGTTTCACTGAGTGAAAGGTCAGTTTCTTGTCGAGATGGAAACAAGTACTCAACTCTATAATACGCCCCATTCGTGCTTCGGTCCTCGTGCGTTGATGCAAAACCATGGTTTTTGGTTTTGCCGAGCCCCACTCTAAGATTTTCAGACCTCCTTTTGCAGGTTTTGTTCCTCCATTTTGTGCTCTGCTTTTTGGCTTTTGCTTGTATTCTTTTGTTTTCTCCAACAACCAATGTGATTCTTGCTTCTTTATTCCAGCAAGAAACGTGGGATCACTCGATGTGCTATTTTCCAACCGGGATTGAAAAATTGTTGTTTGGTGGACTACACAGGTTTTGAATCCAAGACGTAGAAACATGGGCTCTTCTGGTTTACGTTGAAGCGGAGAGCGATGGCTTTCGTCGAAGACAAGGTTAAAACCGGAGGATTGATTGTTGGGGGTCAATCTCTAGCTGCTGAGATGAAGATGTTGAAAGAAATGCAGGATCAATCTGGTATGTTACATTGCCATGATTTTCTCTTCCAATTCCGTTTTTATATATTTTAGCTCTGAATCGCCTTGAACCAACCAAGAAACATTTTCAAGTTAAATATAGCTTTATCTATAAACATAGCGTGGTGAGGTCTCTTGCACATCTCTGGTCTTCCTCAAGAGTAAATATTCAATGCTCGCATCTTGAGTTTGATTCTGCTGATTTCAGGGGGCCGAAAGAGTATAAATTCCGAGTTATGGCATGCTTGCGCTGGCCCACTTGTAGGCTTGCCTCAGGTGGGGAGTCTGGTTTATTATTTCCCTCAGGGACACAGTGAACAGGTAAATCTAGTACACATTCCGATTCTTAGTCTTGTCCGCAGGTTTGATTTACATTTGAGTATTGTGCTGTCAGCACTAAATGTCGCACGTTAGAACACCACAGTTACCAGTTACAATTTTTTCATCCAGAAAGATAAACATTGATAATTGAAGCTGTTTTCAAAGGTGCGGAGAAGTTGTTAGTTTTATATGCTAGTATACATTCGACATGGATAGTCTTCCAGAATACTTGGGTTCTATCTGTCAACCGATCTCCCGCACTGATAGATAACTTGTTCATTTCTAGATAAGAACATTCCAGTGAAAAAAGGGTAGTTCGGTTCGAGTATTATTAGATCTAAAATTGTTCAACCTTCTGCAACTCATCCTACTTAACGGATGAATTGGAATTAATGTTTGCTGGTCAATGTTTTCATTTGCATATTTCTGATGCAACTTCATATCGCCGAACATTCTTTGGATTCTGGATACAGTATGTGGTGCTTTTTGCATGCAATAGCCATTAGATTATTCCTGAGTTCACCTTGTTTTAAAGTGGAGAGTTGCCCCATTTTTCCATTTCAAGTAGCGTACAAGTTTTGCATGCCCAGCTTGTTTCTGAGGCTGATAAATACAGAGAAAGCCACAATGTAACTAAAAAAACTCGTTTTTTGCGGTGATTGTTGGAAAGCTTCTGGGCCGAGTTATCTCTAAATGCTCAATTAGCATTGATCTACTAAAGCATGGTGCGTTGGTGACCTCTATTTTCTTTAAAAAAATTAATTTCAATCTGAACAGGTGGCGGCTTCCACTAGAAGAACAGCAACCTCACAGATTCCAAACTATCCGAATCTTCAGTCTCAGTTGCTTTGCCAAGTTCAAAATGTTGCACTTCATGTGAGTGTCCGGGCTAATTGACGACATCTTATATTTGTCATATTATGCGTAATCTTTAGAAAAATTTTCACCGTTCTGCTGTATTTTAAAATAGGCAGATAAAGACACGGACGAAATATACGCTCAAATGAGTCTCCAACCATTGAATTCTGTAAGCTTTCATACCCACGAAGTCTCAGATTTCCAAGTTGTTGCTGTTAGCGATGGAAGGATAAAATTTTGATATTGGACGTTTTTCTTAGTTTGAAATTCACTGTTTGTCAGGAAAAAGATGTATTTCCTATATCTGATTTTGGGATGAGGCCTAGTAAACATCCGAGTGAATTTTTCTGCAAAACTTTGACTGCTAGTGATACAAGCACGCACGGTGGCTTTTCTGTACCTCGCAGGGCCGCAGAAAAGCTCTTCCCTACATTGGTACGCCTGTAACAAGTTTTTCGTCGGAAGTTGTCTTTGCGGATAATATACCTTTTAACGGATATATCTATTTTTCAGGACTATACCATTCAACCCCCAACCCAAGAGCTCGTTGTCCGAGACTTACATGATAACACTTGGACATTCCGACATATATACCGAGGTGAGAATGCTTTTGATCTTCAAGTCCCCATCTCTTAAATGGGATATGTGGACGAGTTACGTAGTTTTGTACTCTTAATGTAGGTCAGCCGAAGAGACATCTTCTCACAACAGGTTGGAGTTTGTTTGTCGGCTCAAAGAGGCTTAAAGCTGGTGATGCTGTTCTTTTTATCAGGTAAGTAATGGTCACAAACTGTACATAGTTACTCACAAAAAAAAAAAGTCAGTGTAGTTTCCCAAAAAAAAAGAGTCAGTGTAGTATGCTGGGTAAATGTCCCATAGCAATTCATTGAGTTTCTTTTCAGTCAAGTAATTGCATGAATGACCATTATCGTATCCAGATAGGTAGAATGATGTTCGTGCAAAAGCTAAAACTGCAATAATGATGGATGACCCCTAAAGCCGAAATGTCTAAAGGACAATGAAGCAAATTATTCTTTTGTGTCATTGTTAACAGGGACGAGAAATCACAATTGCTAGTTGGTGTTAGGCGCGCAAATCGTCAACAGACAACATTGCCGTCATCAGTCCTCTCTGCGGATAGCATGCATATTGGTGTGCTAGCCGCCGCAGCTCATGCTGCTGCTAATCAGAGCCCGTTTACTGTTTTCTACAACCCAAGGTATGTTTATATTTAGCATTAGCATGCTTGTAGGGTTATCTAGCTTTTAATATTTAGTTCAATGACGGAGTCTTGGATAATTTCGTTTGAGTGTAGCGTCTCCTCCTTATATGTAGGGCATGCACTTCAGAATTTGTTATTCCACTGGCTAAATACAGAAAAGCTGTATATGGTACCCAACTCTCAGTTGGCATGAGATTCGGTATGATGTTTGAGACAGAGGAATCGGGTAAGCGCAGGTAATTTCTTGACCGACCGAAGAATATCATGGCACGTAGAATATTCTCTGCTCTTGTTAGATAATACTACATCTGGTCTTTAATATAAAACCTTATTTGATTTTTATTTTGGTTCTAAATGTAAGACCCTAATTCATTTTGTTTCTCATATTTATACTTTTTTTCTTTCAAGATAGTCCCTTTAACAATAGTAGTTCTAATCAATAATATTTTAGGAAAGACAATACTTATTTATTTCAATTAACTAACTTAACTTATTTTCTTAATCTCTTCAAATTAGTCAACTAGTTCTTATAATTAGAACCAAGGTAGTATTAACCAACGCACCAAGCTTATTACCGCCTACTTTTGATATGGTTATGAGGCATAGGATGCAGAAAGATGTTGAGTTTTACTCATTCCTTCTATAGGTATATGGGCACTATAGTTGGTATCAGTGACTTGGATCCTTTGAGGTGGCCTGGTTCAAAGTGGAGAAATATTCAGGTGAATTTGGCTGCTCGTTACTTGTTGAAAAGCATATCCTCCGGCACTTATTTTATGTTTAAAAATTATATTCTGAAGAATCTTTTTCCTGCTTTACTTGGTCGGTGATAAATCTTTCACAATTTTTAACTAAACAGGTGGAGTGGGATGAGCCAGGGTGTGGTGATAAGCAAAATAGAGTTAGTGCTTGGGAAATTGAGACTCCTGAGAGTCTTTTTATCTTCCCTTCTTTGACTTCGAGTCTGAAACGACCATTTCATTCTGGATCTTTTGGTAAGTTTGTGAACTCTTCCTTTCATCTATAAGTAAGGCTTCTGTTTATTGACAAAAATATGTTGTTAGGTGCAGAGAATGAGTGGGGAACTTTGTTAAGAAGGCCTTTTATACAAGTTCCTGAAAATGCAAATTTGGAGCTCCCAAACTCTTTACAAAATCTATACATGGAACATCTGATGAAAGTTCTTTTTAAACCTCAACTGGTGAACAATCCCGGAGCCTTTTCATCAGTCATGCAGCAAGAATCTGCTGCCAAGAGTGATGTCTCACAAGATTTGAAGAAGACAATAGCGACAGATAACCAAAAAGCACGTATCATGTGTTCAGGGAGCGTACTGCCAAAAAATCGAGATCATTCTCAATCTCTCCCTGACCAATCTAATGCCTTCAACTTGCATTCTCTGTTGAAAAGTGATGAAGCTGGCAAACAGCATCCGCTGCCAAAAATTGAGAATGCTCAATCGTCTGGAGCAGTTTCTGATAAGGCGCCGTTAGAGTCTGTGGACTTAACTGATCATATCATCGACTGCCCTTCAATAGAAGGTAAAGCAGCGGTGAACCCTATGAACCCACCAGGCCATGCGAGCCAAATGGCATTGCTTAATCAAAACCAGAGTCCGTGGCCCGGGCAGCCTCAGTTAGAATCAACAATATCTCATTCTCAAATGGTTGATATTCCTCAATCTGATTATGCTCTTTTAAATGGCCTGCTTCCTCAGGCGGATGTTGATGAATGGATGTTGTATTGCTCCTCGCAATCTTTTCCTGGATTGAGTAGATCAGCCGGGCCTTTGCAAGAACAGTCTCCGCTTCTCCCACAAGCAGTTAATACTCCTTTGCCCTCCGTGAGTCCAGAAATGTGGGATCATTATCTCAAAAATTTCAAGTCGTCACCTCAAGCAGACCAGTTAACAACCATCTCACAGCAAGGGTTGCAGAATTTTAACTGTGTATCTAATTCAAACAATCTGAGGGATCTATCAGCTGAGAGCAATAACCAAAGCGGGGTGTATAGTGGTGTCAATGTTGATGCTAGTTACAGTGTAAGTACTATGGTTGATCCTTCTACTTCGAGTACCATTTTGGATGATTTTTGCGTGTTGAAGGAGGATGGGGACTTCCAGAACCCATCAGATTGCATGGTTGGCAACTTAAGCTCGAGCCAGGACGTCCAGTCTCAGATAACCTCCGCGAGCCTAGCTGAGTCACATGTTTTCTCTCTGCAAGACATACCTGACAACTCAGGTGGTGGTGCATCTTCAAGCCGTGTTGATTTCGATGAAAGCAGCTTCTTGCAGAATAACTCATGGCCGCAAGTTGCTGCGCCCGTGCGAACCTACACCAAGGTTTGTGGTGGATAACTTCTAATTTGGATTTAATGTACAAGGTCATACCTAGCATATAATGTTTTTGGTATTCTGGGCTTACAGGTTCAAAAGGCAGGGTCAGTTGGAAGATCATTAGATGTAACCACTTTTAAGAACTACGAGGAACTGATCTCCGCAATTGAACGGATGTTTGGACTTGAGGGTCTGTTGAACGACACCAAAGGTTCAGGATGGAAATTGGTATATGTAGATTATGAAAACGACGTTCTGCTTGTTGGGGATGATCCTTGGGAGTAAGTTCCTTAGCCTCTTTACAATGCAGCGTGTGATCTTTTGGGTTTGATTAGTTGCCATGTCCTCCATAGCTTCTGCGAAGGAAGTAATGTTTTAAATTTGGGTGATTAAATGTGGTACAGGGAATTCGTGGGATGTGTCCGCTGCATCAGGATTTTATCTCCCGTGGAAGTAAAACAGATGAGCGAGGAGGGAATGCAGCTTCTAAACAGTGCTGCGGTGCAGCAGTTCAATGGGCCCATGTCAGGCGGCTGCCCTTAGGACCACTAAACCGAATTTTGCGGATTTCCATCTAGCTGACTTTGTCAGAAGTTTCTGGGCTTGTTCTTATGAGTTTTTCTCATTTATGAAGGCGACAAGCAATGTCTTCAAGGATATTATTGTGTAGCTTGTGACGATTGCAACGATGAAGTATTATATACTTGGACTGATACATTCTTAGAGACAATTGTAAGAGCTTTAAGAATCCAAGATTCCAAAGAACTCACTTGTTGGGATCCAATGAAATAGGTAATTATAGGGGGTTGATTAGTTGCCATGTCCTCCATAGCTTCTGCGAAGGAAGTAATGTTTTAAATTTGGGTGATTAAATGTGGTACAGACGACCGAATTCGTGGGATGTGTCGCCTGATCAGGATTTTATCTACCCGTGGAAGTTAAACAGATGAGGAGAGAGAGGGAATGCAGCTTCTAAACAGTGCTGCGGTGCAGCAGTTCAATGGGCCCATGTCAGGCGGCTGCCCTTAGGACCACTAACCGATTTTGCGGATTTCCATCTAGCTGACTTTGTTCAGAAGTTTCTGGGCTTGTTCTTATGAGTTTTTCTCATTTATGAAGGCGACAAGCAATGTCTCTCAAGGATATTATTGTTGCTCTGTGACGATTGCAACGATGAAGTATTATATACTTGGACTGATACATTCTTAGAGACAATTGTAAGAGCTTTAAGAATCCAAGATTCCAAGAACTCACTTGTTGGGATCCAATGAAATAGGTAATTATAGGGCGTGTTGTGGTTTCAACTTTCAAGGGGCCTTTTCCTAGCATTTGATGGATTTTGGGTGAAAAATAATAACACTTCTACAGATGGATTTGCTAAGAAAAATCCCTCCGCTTTAAATTTCTCAGCTCTCAAACTAAATGCACCGTTAATTTTACCCCAGCAAAATGCGCTGTTAAGCAATCTATTCCAATTGCTAGTCTAAAGATATGATATTTAGAATTATCGCAAAGATTGAAATATCGGCCTATTCGTCCCATCTCCCGTTGGGCACCCGCTAAATTCTGCTCCCGGGAAATTCGTGCAGAATGATCGTGCGATACGCTCATAATTTTTGCTATCCAGAAGTGACAAAGTAAGAATCCAGTAAATTTTACAACATCTAAATAAATTAATATAGGATATATAATCTATACCGCTATCCTCGCCATTCAAGTTGGGATGTGGACATTTGCAAGGAGACGCTCCAATGAAAAGGGTAAAAATTAAGGCATGAGAGAAGCCGGAGCGGGCAAATTCTTATCCTGCGGCTACAAGTACAATGCCATACTCATCACCCATATAGGAAACAATTCATTGGTTGATCTTTGCAATTCAAGAGACTTAGAGCAACAAGATCAGCCCAAAAAATGCAATTCATTTCCATTTCATAACAAATAAATTTAACTAGAAAGTAGCCAAGTACCCAAATACAGAATAAAGATGTAAAACGGAACTGAAAATACAGGAACCTTGGGTTAATGCTAACACATCGTCAATGATAAAATCATTCTTACCCCTAGCCTTCACATATCTCTGATTCTCGTAGCCATTAACCAAATCAAAGCAACCAGTGCAATCTCTACCCAATTTCTTACCATTCAAACATTCAAAATTCTTGCAACCCAGGCCACTCCAGTTAACAGTCTTATTACCCACAGGTTTCCAAACCAAATCAAAGCAACCAGGCAATCTCTAAAGGATACCATTCAAACATTCAAAATTCTTGCAAAACTCCAGTTAACAGTCTTTTACCCACAGGTTTCCAAAGGGAAATAGGAAAAGGATAAAGACCTACCTTAGAAACATTTAGCAAAGCACCTCCTCCTCGGTAAAGGCTCACATCCGCGCAAGATCAGTTTCTGCGCTGAACTCCAGTCATCGGGGCAAGGTCCAGCAATCTTGTAATTCATGTATTGAGACAATAAATCCGCTGATTTCTCACAGGAGTGACCAACGGAGGCGACCATTTCAGTGATCCCAGTTCTCGAATCTTTGCCCAGAGGGAGCTGGTGATGCTGGAGATAGAGTTTAAGTTCGCCAGCGATATTAGGCCTGGAAAGGTCAACATTTTCATAGCCAAGAAGCTCCTTTTCCATCTGGGTCAATTTTTTCTGAGACGTATCGATCTCTCTCAGTATCAGAGAGACCTGTTCAGAAATGAGAGAGAAGTTCTTTTGAGTGTGGAGAAGCAGGTGGTTGCTATGGTGTTTTGGGGAAGCAGTGAAAGCATAGAGGGCAAAAAGATTGGTAGTGATAACACAGAAGATCATGAGAATGTTGACTGCCGAAGAACACAAAGTGGCTCTTTTAAATCTGGCAGTGCCATCCCCTATTTTAAGAGAAACAGAACCCATCTTGAGGCGAGTCCTATACCCACTCACACACAGACTGGAGAAGGAGAAGGCCGCGAGATTGAAATTTGTAGTTGAAGCAGATCGGCTCTTTCCGGAATTAAATGCTTCTTACTCGTTGAGTGCGAACTGTGAAGCGCAGGGAGAGTAAAGAGACTGTCTCCCTGCCGCTTGCCAATAGCCGTTCAGATCTTAATCTTCACGGTTCGGATTCAATATTTATTTTATTAACGTCTTCTTCTGTTCTTTGCTTAATAATATCAAATCTAACCAGTATTATTACGGGAAAATAACAAATAAAGAAAGTATATGATATTTTATCTTGGGAAGATAAAGATTTTAAATGATAAAGGGAAAAGTCATCCCCAAATTTGAAATTTTAAAATTTAGCAAAATAACAATATTTTTTATTATTTTTTTTTCAAAAAAAAGGTTTAACGTCTCATCGGTGGCCTTCCACAAACGGCAGCTAATCGCCGGCACTTGCCACCGGTGAAATTTTTTTGTACCACAGATTTTTTTGGGCCATGTGAGAATATTTCAAGAAAATAATAGGGGTAATATTTGATCCCACTACCTATTGGTCATTTAGACCAACAAAAAAGAAGATGACAACTGGGCCATCAAAAATTTGTTAACTTTATAATGCAAACAAAAATATAATTCGACTCTTTTACTATGACTCCAGCTCGTGACAATAATTTATCTAGGGATGACAAGTCTTAATTGAGAAATAATCTAAATTTGATATCAACAGAGTAACTTTTCTTAATACATAACAAGAAATAACATGTACATTAATTAAAATAACAATAATTTATTTGGAAATGACATGTCTTGATTGGAAAATGACAAGTTTAAATTTAAGATTAATAATGTGTTTTTTCCTGATACATAACAGGAAATAACATGTGTGTTAATTAAAAATGATAATAATTTATATTAGAAATGACAAGTGTTGATTATGAAATAACAAGTCTTGACTATAATTAGACTTACAGGTGCTCATGGGACAGGATGGGACAGGGACGACCCCGTCCTAGTCCTGTCCCGATAATTAGGAAGGGAAGGCTTTTCTGTCTCGTGTCCCATCCCGTCCCAATAGCATCTCGTCCTAATTGGGACAGTACATAACTGGGACGGGATAGGAACGTCCCATCTCTTTTTTTTTTTAATTTTTTATCTTTTTAATTTGAAAACTAACTATGCAAGAAATGTATAAACTTATAATAAAAATAATGTGAGGAAAATAGATAAAAATGAGGAAACAATGACAAAGAAAATTTTTTTTTGTAATCATGAGAGACAAAAAAAACTAAACAAACCTAAAATATTCATTACAACGAATATCATGTAACCCGTACAAAAATAACTTACAAACAAATCAAAAATAACAATTGATAAATATCATTACCAAAACACTATTATAGTGATAAATAAAATAAATTTATAACAACTAAAATAAAGATGATATGTTGGAATGGGACCGGGATGGGACACTCCCGTCCTTTGTCCTGAAACAATTTTGTCCTATCTTGCTTTCATCTCATCCAGAAAACTTTTGGAATGGGGTTGTCCCGTCCCAAAATGACAGGGATAAGGATGGGATGCTCGGACGGGATACAATTAAACACCCCTAATTAGACTAGCTATGCCTATCACAAACATTAATAGGATCTTCAGTGTTTACAACTAAATGATTATGAGGGAAATGACGCATCAAAATAAAGTCAGATACAGTCTTTTGTATATAATTAAATAAATTTGATACATACAAATCATTTAGGGAAGAAAAAAGAAATAGCACAAATTCAAAACAAAAATTATAATCAAGCAATCAAAACTTGTCATTCCCAATTAAGATATGTCATTTCCAAATAAATTGTTATCATTTTTAATTAATACACATGTTATTTCCTGTTATGTATAAGTAAAAAACACATTGTTAATCTCAAGTTTATACTTGTTATTTTTCAATCAAGACATGTCATTTCCAAATAAATTATTATCATTTTTAATTAATGTACATGCTATTTCTTGTTATGTATAAGGAAAAGTTACTTTTGTTAATATCAAATTTAGACTTGTCATCTGATAATTAAGATTTGTCATTCTCAAATAAATTGTTGTCATTTTTAATTAATACATGTATTATTTCCTATTATGTATCCAAAAAAACACATTGCTAATATTAAGTTTAGACTTGTCATTTTCTAATCAAGACATGTCATTTTCAAATAAATTATTGTCATTTTAATTAATGTACATGTTATTTTCTGTTATATATTAGAAAAAGTTACTTTGTCAATATCAAATTTAAATTTATTCTTTCTTAATCAAGACTTGTCATCCCTAGATAAATTGTTGTCACAAATTAAAGCCATAGTAAAAGAGTCAACTTATATTTTTTGTTTGCATCATCAAGTTAACAAATTATGGGTAATCTAATGGTCATGTTCTTTTTTGTTGGCCTAAATGACCAAGAGGTAGTGAGATCAAATCCTACCTCCACTACTTTCTTGAAATATTCTCACATGGCAAAAAAAAAAAAACCAGTGACAAAAAAAATCACCGGCAGCCACCACACTGGTAGCCAACAGCGAGGGGTCAAGTCTTTTTTTTTTTGAAAGACATTTTTATCATGTCACTGAATTTCAAAATTTCAATTTGGGAATGACTTCCCTCTTTGTCATTTAAAATCCTTAGCTTCCTAAATTGGGATATCATATATTCAACCTTTTTTATTTGTCATTTTTCCTATTATTATCCTGCAGGCCAAATAAAAAACAGGAAAATTCTTCCAGCTGAAAAGGTTAGTTATTTTAATTACTGTATTAATATCATTTCATCATTATATATCTATTTATACATAATTTAGTATTTTCTAAAAATTATAATTATCAATAATATAATCTATTACAAATTATGTATATTGATATCTTTGAGACTTCCTTTCTCTCTATAGGGAGATTCTTATATATATTTTTTATTACAAGTAATGAGTAATAGTAAACAGCATCAACCGGCCATTTAGCTCTAGCAAAGGCAAATAACAATTGTTTTCAACTAAACCACTATTTAATTAATTAATTCTAGCTGTTTAACCACTTGCATCGCTCTTTTTTTTTTTTTTTTTAAATATAGAAGTTAAAGAAAAGAAATTTATAAAAATATCACTATCCAATTTAGCAGTTTTTTTTTTTTTTGGCTACGACCCTTTGACTCTGGGTTATAAACCAATAGTTTGATCTTCCATCTAATTTAAGATGTGTTTATAAGAAAATTTGGTGAAACCTATACAAATTTTACTTCTTTTAACAATAAGTTTTGGTAAAAAAAAAAACAATGACCAAATTATGAAGAAAATCTCTCTAAAACCAGATTTATCATTACTTTAATCTGTTTTACTAATAATAAAAGAATATTTCTATGAAGTCATACCATAAAAAGTATGGTCTCAGATAAAACAGTTACTACAATTAAAATTTGATAATTAAATTTGGCTTTCATGAAAAATTGAAATTACCAGATTTAAATCTACATGAATTTTAAAAACATTTTAATTTATACAATTTTTTACTTATTTGTATCTTATAAAATGAGAAGATGTAAGAGTGATCATAAGCATGTTTAATATAAGTCAAAATAAAACTACTCTTACATATTTATTTCGTATTTCATAAATTATAATTAAAAAATTACTTATAAGTTATACAAATTATTCCAAACCGCACTATTTCTCTGCGGCAAAGTTTACCATAAAATGGAACGGTATCTATTCAACCAACCAATGGTTTTAACTCTTACAAAGCAGTAGCCAAATTTGAGGTGGGGGATTCCAAAGGAACACAAAAGTAAGGATAAATAATGGGGTAATCATGGAGTAAGAAGGCAGTCAACGGCCATGAAGGTGGAAAGCTATAGGTGCCGCTGGAAACCTGTCCGTACTTACAAGAAGCAGGCTGAGTGGCTGACAAAATACTCGCGATAAAAATCTCGGATCACGTACCCTTCAGGTGATCCAATGGCAGTCGCGAGAAAAACGAAATAGGCTGCTAGTTCTTCCTGGTCTCGTACTCTAATCAGAGAAGGACAGATTCACTTTCACTAATAACATATAAACCAAGTAAAAGCGTACAATCTTTTCCGTCCCTGTCGCAAGAAAAACGGTGAGCATGCCTTTCCTTTCGAAAGGCACGGAGTGGCTGGGTACATAGAACGCGTCATTCAATCTGATATGAAGATGAATGAAATCTTAGATGCATTGGCTGTCAAAGGTTAGAAAAGTTTCTAAATAAAATTCCATCAAAGCATAAATGAGAATTTGCATGGGAACAATCAAATCCATGTTTGGGCTCGGTGGCTCCAGTTGAAATTTCCACTACAAATCTCAATCTCGGTTGTTCAAACTTCTGCTAGCTCATCTTTGTCCAGTCCCCTTGGAGGAATTTTGCTACTGCTTTTTCTCTTCCGCTTTCCTCGGCTGCAAGAAGTGCCATTAGTAACGTCAACCATCCCAACATTATCAAAGCTGCTTTAGTACTTAATGTACGACAGATCAAATTCACACACGGGATGATAGTCACGCAAAAATAGTAATTAAAAGCTATCCTCGCAACTTGAAACCACAATACCATATTGTCAAAAAAGACGAGATAAAAATTAAAAACATGCTAATACAAAGGTATAAAGAACAGGCATTCTGCTGAATCCAACTTGTAACCACGCAGCCACAACAGAAATGTTCCATTACACAACTAAACTGCGACTTGGTTGTGAAACATGCATCAAAACAAAGTACAGCTGCAAGACCATTTAGCTGAGTCTCTATGGCTGGTTCTTTGCAGCATCCAGCAACATAGAAACATGTTCGTTCGTTAACATGTTTTTCATAAATGAAAATGGCCAACAAAGTAAAAATATCATGGATCCACAATCACGAAACCACCATACCTGCTTTTAGATGTGCAGATATAATTTGGAATATTATTGCTTGCTACGCTCCAAAAGATGCAAAGATTCAAAAACCACATATACTATTTACATAGTTTCCCTTTGAATGGCAGTTATGCATAGATTCGGTAGATTTAGAGTCTTGCTTTCAGCTATGCTTCACAAGAAAGGGAAAGTGAAGTTCCTTTTAACAAGGTACTTTATTCAATATATAAACGCTAGGTGCACATATCTTCTAGCTATAGCTACTACAGGCAGAGTTGGTGGCAGCAACAGGAAATCAAGGTAGCTGTCAGCCTTGATATTCTATCATAAGCTGGAAGAAGGATCCCAGAAATTCTTAATTTCGATACTCTCCTATTCACCGCATCATTACAGGGAAAAATGACAATATACTAAGAATGCATGAGGTCTATGGTCTGTTTCCTCTCCTGTCACTTACTATCTTTGTCCCCGGTTTCTCTCCAACGACATGATGTCCAGCTTGGTACAATGTTTTCCAACTGAAAATTATCCCCCACATTTGCAGAAGGGGACAAGGACAGTATGTACAGAAACTTTGACCTTAGATTGCATTAGCAGAAACCAAGACATGATCAAAAGTGGTGAAAACTTCTTCACCTCCTTCCTCCTTCAACTCACTCACTCCAATTAGATATGCCTATCTATTTGCACATACTGTAGAATTCACTCATCACCATCAATAGTTTCACGAAGGCACGAAAAACAAAATGAAAGTTCAACGATATATCTAATAAAAGAGATATTAGATAGGACTGCTCAATTTAAAGCAGGATTCAGGTGACAGCTTAACATTAAACGGATTAAACAAAGCGCTCAACCACAGAAAGTAATTCACAAGAAACGTTATGCCAATAACCATATATTGACTGCCAGAAAAAAAAAATACTTTGGACAAAATCCGTGTCGCCGTTCAACTTCAACCAAACTTCTCAAGCAGGGAAAAAAAATCATTTTAATCACTAAGAATTAATTAATTGATCTAGGTCGATAAAGGAAGGGGGAGTCAGTACGCACTTTGACACCTGGTGCAGGTTGGCGAAGCTCTTCCTCGGGTATAATGACAGGCCAGGCTTCACCCGCCTCGCGGAACATTTGCTCGGTCTCCAGGTGCTGACCTTTTTCGAGAATCATATTCCTAATGGTCTGTGCAGGGGTGGATGTTGCATCGAACACTTCCTCAACCCCATTGACGAAAGTGACAGTAATCTGCGGTGGGTGGTCATCAGTTCGGCGCTTCACCACCACTTGACACCCAGGGTTTGATTCCTTGGCCTTCCGTGCGTTGCACTGTGCCAAAAACTCCATACAGGATGCAGTTCGCGGGTCCAAGGCATTGAACTCGATTCTCACCCTCGATAGGAACTTCAACATTTTATACGATGTCTCTCTGCCACTCCTACTTCACTTCAATGAACCCGATGAGGAAGCTAATAAGAGGTATCCGGAACGAATGCGGAGGGTTTCTATGGTATTGTTGCTGTAATCTTCTTCGCTTTTTTTTTTTTTTGACCTTGCTTCTTCGCGATTAACGTTGGCCAAAAAAGAAAAATTCGTGAAGGTAAAGCTCCATTGTTTTTTTTTTTTTTCCGGCCTGACTCACTCACATATTCATCACGTTTTTGTCAACAAAAAAAAAAATCTTAAATTTACTCTTAATAAAAATCTGAATAGCAAGAAAAACTTCGGCCTTATTTGATTTATTACTGGCATTATCGGTGCTGTGTTAAAATATTTTGTAGTTCAATCAATATACTGAAATATATTTTAATAACAATTTCTCAAATCACATTCTACTTTTAAAATATTAATATTTAATATCATTTAATTATAAAAAGCTGTAAGTATTCTTCTTTTAAGATCATACATTCAGCACTTTAATATACTTTCAGAATAGTGAGCATACCACAATATCTTAGATGTCATCTGCACTGGAAATACTTCTTGTAACACTTTCTTATTTCCAAAATCTTTTAATCTTTAAGCATACAGGTTCCTTTTTCCTTGCTCTTGGCCTCTCACGTCTTGATTATTGTAAGTCTGTGACTTCTTATCTCAAAATGAACTCGTTCCTGAGGAACGACAGATTAGAAGATCATGGGCAAATTCCTTTCGCTTCCTTGAGGCGTGAGGTATCCAACATATTCGCACTTACAAAGACCTGAGTCAACACTCATCATACTACCAAAAGAAATAAATATGTAAATATATTTCCGGATGATTGATACGCGCAATCAGTTGCAGCATAAATAAAACAGAAGAAAAAACAATAATTCCTGCATATTCTCACTCAAGGAGAGGGCAACGGAGCTTTTCAATTATAAGATGGCAAAATCGGAAAAAAAAGCTGAACACCGCGGTCTCAAAAGACCAGCTGACCACTCATCAAAAGCAAAGCTCGGCAACCTGCCAAATCAAGAGTCTAACCAACTGCTAATCTCGTTATCCATTTTGGTTCTCTTTGAACTTTGTACACCTGGCACAGCACTACTACGGGGCTGAAATGCCACATCATGCTGATATGCACAGTTAGCTCCATTCCGACATCCTTTTGAACTGTTGAAATAGATACAAGGCTTCATTATCTTGGGTTTTGGTTCCCTTAATCTAGAATTGTGCGTTGTCTCCTGGTTTCCAACGGGCTGCCTAATGTTATTCAGATAAGGTAGAGTCTCTTGTTTTTCTCCACCATGTTGCTGAATTAGGCTTTTATAGTAGTTCACATCCTTTGCTGGAGGAGCTCCAAGACTCACTACAGGAGGAGGGACCTGTTGAGGAGGAACGGGTCCCACTCCAACCCCCATCTGAGCGGTATAGGAAGGGCTGGCTGATAAGGCACCAAATGAAGGCGTACTGGCTTCAGCTTGATTCAGAGGAATGGGTAGACGTGAAGTCACCAAAGATGAGCTAGCATTGAATGTATGTCGTGAGTTATTTGTATTTCCATAATCTCTAACCAACTTTTCAATCACCTCTGGGTTGCTGAGAACTTTATTCAGTAATTCGTGGTCAATCGTAATTCCATGTTCATTATTCTTCATGATGTGGCTTAAAGCTATAGATGCTTCAGCAGCCTCAGATTCTACTACATGAGGTAATTGCGCAATTGAAGGAGGGTTAGAACCCTTGGGTACTCCAGCAACGAACAAGAGAGGCTGTGAACTAAGCGGCGCTCCATATGATGCCTCTACTGTGGAATCCTCATCTTCAATTGGTGTAATTGGTATCAAAGCAGTATGATCATCATTGCAAAGGGAGTCTTCTGCATCCATTGAGACAGAGGGGCTGCATGGAGGGAAACAGAAGGGAAGAAAGTAAGTATTTAAATGACCAGAGGTATCTATGAGGAATTATCGTACAGAGCAAGAGAAGAATCAAACTTTGGAGGAATGGAAGACGGGCGGGGATAAATAGCTTCGAGTACTTTCATCTCTCTCTGATTCTGATCCTCTACCTCTTTGCTTTCTTCCCCAGCCACCACTTGCCATGTGAGATCAAGCACAATCTGTTTAAACATGTTAAAACAATTATACAAGAATGAAAACAAAATTTGAGATTTTTTTTGCATCCCCCCCTTTCCTTATTTGAAAGCCATCCGCTCAAATAAGGAAACCATTCAACAAGGAAACTGGAATACACACAAACCCCTATGAGTGCGCACCTTAAGCGGATTGGTCCATTTAATCACTGGAATCTGGGAGAGCTTTATCTGCGTCTGACTTGAGGATTCAGTTCCATCAAAGCCAGGAGGTAGAATGTCATCAGAACCTGCCCCTCCTGGATGCGACAGTAACGATGTCTTTGCTTGGAGGTGATCTTGAGCATTTAACCCAACTTGTGAAGGACATTCCTCTGATAAAAATAATCTAACCTGTTTGATGAAGAGATTTTAGTCCCTTATGTTGTAACCTCTTTCACCATTTTGTTCGGCGCCATTTATGATTATGTAAACAGGATTATGTTAAATGACATTATTGATTCAATCTTATATTAAATCGAAACAGATAAGTTATTCAGATGCAAAAACTCTAAAACAGAGTAGTCAATCCTATTTCATACAATAAAAAATCCATTAAAAAGAATAGACAGTCAGATTCAAATTCTACTACAATGACAAGTGGCCAGCAAATTATGTACAAAATAAATGGACAAACTCATACACTTCTATCACAATGAGTTTCACTCAACACAACAAGTGAAATGAAAATATGAATATTACCCAAGACACCAAACACCAAAACAATCTTAACAGATTTCATCATATTTTCAAATCCAATCTGCAAGATATTTCGCAATGTCCCAATCAGACACTGTCACCCTCAACCTCTCCAACATACAATCAAACAAAAATGACCCCAGACAAATTACTTTCAGTAACACTCTGAAAAGTGTTATTTGTGCTCATTGGGTGGCCAACTAAGGGCTTCCATCACCTTTTCATCCCATTATTTTGCATTCACCCTCAGTAGGTCTCCAGAATTTATCACTATGACTTGGCCCTCCCATGTTGGAAGTGGCTGAGATCTTGCGTTTAGTCTCCTTTCAAACAGAAAAAGAATAAAATTTTAGAATTAAAGGCAACAAATTCTTCTAAGCAGAAGAGTTCTACCGTATCAGCATGGACCCAAAAAGAAAAAAGCACTTCGTAATACTGGAGAAAAATGAGATGTCACCAAATCTTGCAATTCTCACAAGGACATAGACACAAGCAAGTTGAAGGAACCAAGGGCAATGCAACTAATTAAACAAGAGGCGTGCAAAAATGAGAGGAAAAAGCATGGAATCTAAAATTTCTTAAAGAGAAAACTGGCATCGTGCCAAGGGAAACAAGAAGTTATTGTAATCACTTTTACATATTAACCACAAAATTCATGCTAATGAACTAAAAATTACACCTACTATATCTTCCCTCTTGAAGAATTTAGTAAACATTTACTCCACAATCCACATCCATTATCATTTTCACAATTCTTTTATACTTCTTCATGTGAGATTCATTGATACAATAGTACTTATTTTCTCTCACATCTCATTCAGGTGTCCTTGCTATCAATTAGGGTCAACAATTTTGAATCCAAGCTCCGGCGCGCCGCATTTCTTCATGTAAAACCAGCTCTCCGTAGTAAAATCGATGGAATTTTTTGACATCACAGGAATTTATTATTACTTTGAATATAGCTATCCCAGAACCATATCATTCTCTGTACTAATTTCCTACTTACGCTGACTTTAGTTTCCTACCCCCAAGCACGCAATAATCCTTCAGAGAAACTAGTCAATCAGCCCTTAAACACAGAAGGCTTCTCATGGGCCAAAAGACTTCACTTTACGGGGCAAAGCAAGGGGGGTCCTAGATAGAATCCATACATATCAATGTATTCCAGAGCAAGATATGGCCCTGACATTAACGTCACCCCAAGATGATATTTCTGAGGCATCAAATTGTACGCGAACTAGTGATAGGGATAAAACGTGCAAAATGATCAATCGAAGATAGTAGACAACAAATCATAATTTAGGGCTTAGAAAGCTGATTCTTCAATGTTAATCATTCGAGTTATTTATACGCCATTAATCGATCGATGTCGAATTTAGTTGCTGAAATATAATTACCTGACAAAGATCTAAATCTGAGGCCCACGAAACTCTTTTCGATTTGTGTAAACAACGCATATTTAGCATAAGAATCGTTCTTCTGCTTCAGTGTGGCAATCTATGAAAAGATTTAAGAGATATGGTGAGGTACCAAAGCTCAAGAGTAAAGCCTAGTCAGACACCACATATGAGTTATCCACCCTAACACCGTATCTATAGCTCTTTAAGTCCTCCCTGGTGAACTACGGGGTGTCCCAGGACGACCTTGGGAGAGAACCCTGACTTGTTATTGCCGCCATTGAACCGCCCTCTACTAAGTACCAGGTGAGCAAAAGCAGACAGATTGGTTTTTTTTTTTTTTTTTTGAAAAAATTGAAGATCATCATTCTCCCATAAGAGGAGCTGGGAATGCACCTGCCATGGGCCCATATTTGAGCGGTGAAGGCCGAGCTGGCCCAAACAAAATGTTGAATTTGCTGAGCTCATATGCCGGTTAGCAGGCTGGCGAGCTAACCCACAAAATAAGGAAGAGCCGAATTTGACTGTTTTAAAGGTGAAAATAGAGCAGGTTTCAAAATCTATTGTCATCCTACCAAAAAAAAATCTGTTGTCATAATTCAAAAATAAGTAAATAGAATTTACCGAGACACTGACAGATAACAATACATCTCGAAAATTAAGGCCCCGCGGCTGAACCCGTTTTTACAACTCTAACCGCAATTATATTTATAAATCTCAATTCTTTAATTTACAATCTTTTATTTTTATTTCTTTACATTATGTGGTTTTAATTCATTCTCACAATTTTCTTATAGTATATTTTATCCTTTCAGATGATGGGGCCATATACTGTATGAGATCTATACAAACCGTAGCATTTATGTTTTGTGAATTATATGCATTTCATGTATAACTCCCAATTTTTTGGAGCTCTGCTAATACGAGTAAGATATATAATATTTTCTCGTCATTTATTTGTTCTTCATTGTATCTGAAACGAATAGGCCACATGAATAATATCCATATTTGTGACACGTTTTCTTTATTTTTAGGTGTGTTTATATATAAATAAATCTTTGAAAAAAATCGTATTTTGGTTTCTTGCCAATGTTTTTGTTTCTACTTTCTGTCCATATTATATTTCGTGTATTGATTATCCCGGTACGTATTAATTGATTATAATTTTTTTTTTTTGGGCCGACAATCACAATTATAATTTTGGAAAAAAAAGAGGGGGGTGGCATAGCATTATGCACGTCTCATCGTGTAAACGCAACGCAGTGTCGTCCCGGCTTCGAGTAGTCTTTTGGCCAAGGCAACAAGTTTTTTTATCTGCTCTGATTATCAGAATTTTAGTTTGTGCCCCCCTACAACAAATCTAATCCCAACTTAACCTCTTGTTTGGATTGAGGGAAAATTAGGGAAGAAAGAAAACTAGAGAAGAAAAGATAAAAAGAAACAAGTTTTTCTTTACTTGGATAGGAAAGAAAATATGGGAAGAAAAAAAAGTGGAAGAGAATAAAATAGGCTCGATGCCTTATTTTTTTTCCAAATTTTTTCTTTATATATGGAGAGATTTGAAAAGAAAATAAGATTTTCATGATTACCCTTCTTCTCTTTTCCTCTCCGCATTTATTTTCTTTTATTATATTTAAAAAGTTGTTCACTTTTTACTTTTTTTATCTTAAAACAATGTTTTTATTAAATAATTGGCTTTTAAACATAATAATATGAAAAAATATATAAATCAAATAACTTGATTTTAAATTATTTGATTATCAGTGTTTTTAAAACCGGACCGGACCGGACGGTCGAACCGGTCCAGCCGGTGACCGGGACACTTCTCGGCTCGTTTCACATGGTTCGGCCGCTTTATCATTTGAGCCGCCTTGGACCGCTTCAAGCCGGCCATTTAACCGAAAATCGGAGCGGTTTTTGAAAAACCGGCCGGCTCAAATTTGTGAGCAGGGATGGAAAAGAAGAAAGAAGACGCATAAAAGCTTTTTTGGATATGAATCTTATCCCCATCCTTTGTCCCTTCAAGAACAGCCATGGAGTCGGTTGCTAGGCTAGAAGAAGATAAGAAGCTTACCTTGGGTGCCCGACGATTCGCAAATCTGGACTGTAAATAAAACCTCCCTAGTCCATAATGAAGAAAAGAAGACGACGTGCAAGTGATGAAATGGAAGTAGGGGAGAAAAGAAAGTAAAACCTCGAGAGTGGAGATAGAGAAGCGTGTTTCGTACGCAGACGCAGTTCTTTTTCGGGCCAACACGCAAAGGTAGATTGACCAAGGATGACATGTACTATAAATGAGTATTAATTAAACCTTTTTTTAATGTTATTTTTCAAGGGAAAAAATTAAATTAATTGTGAGATAAAGTTATTTCTATTGGTACAAATTGCAAAAGTTAAAGATTTGCTATACTATATATTAAAAAGACTATAAAAAATATTTGGTTTTTTGACCAGCGGCTATAAAAAAATATTTACGTTATAATATTGTAATTATTAATGATTATTATATGATTAATATATATAAAATATGTAATTTATCCTCTAAAATCATTCTTATTTAAGGGATAAAGTGAGCATACCAATAATTAACAGAGACAAAAATAAAAATATATATAAAAAATTTCAAATAGGGTATTAGTGTCAATGTATCATGGACCTTCATCCCCAAAAAAAATTTCTTATATATAAGATTTAAGAAAGTATAATATTATTTTTATTTAATTATTATGTTCCGGTCCGACCGCCGGTCCGACCGGTTGAACCATAAGAACCGTGAACCGCTCGTCTTTCCGGTTCAATTTCCGGTCCAGCTTTTAAAACATTGTTGATGATGCTAATGTTAGTATAATTTTTTTATTACAATATTTAATTTAATTTAATTTTAAATATGATATATTTTGATAAGGACATTTTAGTCACTTAAATATCTATTAATTTTCTTTCCTCTCTCTCTTTATTTTCTCTCCTCTTATTTTTTTTCTCTCAATTTTTCTTCCCATCCAAGCAGAGCATAAGAGTTTCTGCAACCTGTTTTAGCAGTGAAAAGATTATAGGCGATTTCACTAATCACCCACCCGATGCATGCTGGGAAGACTACTTCGTTGAGTTTATTAATGCTACCAGCCACAGCCGAGTCGTTCCCTGAGCTAGTTTACCAGCAACCAGACTAAGATTTACGCAAGCCATGACGATACCCATCAAATCCAGAACGTGAGCTTTAGAAAAGAAACCAAATCCAGAACGTGAGCTTTAGAAAAGAAATCAAGAACATTGGTCGGGTCAATTCATTCCAACTTATTCCAACAAACCAGGTAACACCCATCGTAACTCTCAGCCAACAGGCAAAGCAATCTAATACAAACATAATTATATCACAAACAGTTGTGGCCTGAAACTTACAAATCGCACCCCACTCACTGAGTATGAAAAAAAGAAATAATCTAGCAGCAACGCGAGCAATAATGTACAAATAATCCTCACCCACTTGTATTTATGTATGTTCCCAGACGAATCCTACAGTCCAACTGGTTACCTTCAAATTTGGGGAGGAGCAGGGAGGGGAGGCAAAGAATAATGAAAAAGTCAACAAATTCAAGGGTATAAAAAAGTTCCCGGCAAGTAAAACTGAGCAGCTATCCCTCGGAGAATGAACAAAGTGAAATCAGAAACTCCAAATTGGTCCTTCATGATAACTACTGTAGAGGCACGTCGGCACACTTCAGCTTCCGATTCACCTCTGCCACTTCCTCTCTGTGAAGCATAATTCAAGTGGTTCGTCAGTAGATTACTTCATAAAGCAAAATCATTATACTTTGCCATGCTGAATCTTGCAAGATGGACAATGCATATTAAAAACAGGCAATGTATTTTTCAAAGGTAAAAGCCATTTCCAATCAACAAGCAGGCGCATATCACTCACATTCTGGAGGGCAATCCTTTGGCAACTATAGAATGGTAACAAAGTTGTCGTGATAATCAATACCTCATTCAGAATATGGTGAATAAGCAGGCTTACTACTAGAAATAAAAGGTGAGCGAGCATCGCAGCAAAAGAAATGCTTTGGAAATCCCAGTTGGAATGTGGCATGTTAATCTTACATCAGTTGGGAAAAAAGGGGGGAGAAAATTCAGGTTCACTGTAAAAGTTTCACGTGCCAACCAGCCACATATGTGATAGCAAATCCATATATGCAAGCCCATAAAAATCAAAATCGTATATTGAATTATCTTCATAACAAGAACATGAAGTACTCCTCCGGTCCTTAATATAGGACTCAATTGTTGAGTTGGTTTTAGTCCTAAATATAAGATCCACTTCTCATATTTATCAATTTTCTCTAAATTACCTCTATGGATACTCTCTCAATCATAATCAAGTAGAAGAGGGAAAGGAGGTATTAAAAAAGATAATTATGGTATTTTAGGAAAAACGTGTTACATTTCTTATAATCAACTAATTTACCTAACTTCCTTAATCTAATCAAATTAGCTAAATGGGTCTCATATTAAAGACCGGAGGAGTATGTATATTTTATCAGGGAGAAATAAAAAACAGAACCAAAGAAAATTCTTTAGGATTCAGAATACCATGAGGAGGATGTAAACCTTGTCCTTTCGTACCCTGCTGTGCCTGAGAAATTGAGCGCTGGATGCGTGGAGAAACCTGTCTATCAGTTGCACTTGCACCAGGCAAGGAGTGTCTCTTCTTAACATGTACATCTCGATCATGCAGATCTGGACTTGATCGTGGAGAATTATTAGCATTAATCTTGGCCCTTGCAGATTCTGTGGCTTGCATGAAATGAGGAAGAGAACTATTGTTACTATTATCTCTTGATTCTTGATCACTGTGATCAGGTTTCGCAGAGCCAGAGGAATTGCGCCTCTTCCCATTCCCCTGATCTTTAGGCAGTTGTTCCCTGCTACCTCTAGATCCTGAATCAGGAGTTGCATTTGCAGGTGATTTATTACCAGCTGACAGAAGCCTTCGTCTATTTGTCGATCCAGATCCAGTCTTCTCAGGTTTTCTCTCTTTTGGTTTCACTGATACCTGACTTGAAGGTGTTCCTTGAGATTCAGGGACGGTTACATGGCTCCTGGGTGAAGCTTCAGGAGATGCTCTGAGATCTTGCACAGCAGACTCCACTTGTTCTCTTTGCAGTTCAGACATGTTTTTCTCACACTTAAGAGCTGGTGGCTCTTTGGAATCAACAACTACTGCTGAATGAAGTGATTTGCCATTCACATCTTCATTATTGGCAGTCTCAGGTTGACCCAGTGCAGAGCCGGGTAACTCACCAGCGAGAGTGGTACAAAAGACATTAGCCTCAACCTCATGATTTATCACACTGTCAGGATTACATATCCCTTCTGATAAATCTTTGGCTTCAGGTTCATTTTCAGTAGCCCCAGTCTCAGATATTTCTGGTGAATCAAGCGTGGAAGAAATAGAGAGTTCAGTACCACATTCAGAGCCACCAATCTTGGAAGGAAAGGGAGCAGAACTCTCCAATAAGAGCTCTTTGGACCTAAATGCACTGTCTGTGCCAACAGAAATGGGATCCTCATGCGCTTCAACAGTTGCATCATTATTGGACAAACTGCTTGACCTTCCTGAACTTGCCATTGTACTCAGCTCTTCAAATTTTGACTGTGCAGCAATGAATGTTGGGTTGCTGGCCTTTCTTGATCCATACCCAAATTTGGTTCCCTCAGTCTCTAGTTGCTCAGAGGCAAATCTTTTCATGGATCTTTTGGGCTGTTCACTGTCAATTTCAGGTTTCTCCGGTAGAGAACTAAGCTCCTGAGGAGGAATTGCATCTGATGTCACAATTTTATTTTGCTGAGAATCAATTTCTTCTAAGGTTACTTTAGCATCAAAAGTAATTGTCATGTCAGGCTGTGCCTCTTCCAAATCATCTTTGGCAAGAGACGTAGAATGGGTTTCTTCGAAGCTTAAGTTTCCTGTATCATGAGTAGTCACTTTCTCTTCAACCTCAGAAGGCACAACAGAGTCCTCAACAGCGAGCCTTGAGTCATCTGACTGACACAAAACTTCAGACTGAAGCCCAGTTTCCAATTGAGACGGAGAAGGACTAGATTCATTGTTGTCTGATTGCTCCACCAATGAACTTGTTATTTTAGACTCGGCAGAATCCAAGGAGGAAACCGACATCCATCTCTCCAACCATTTCCAACCAGAATCAGCTTTGGAAGGATCACATGTGATACGGATTGGTTTGTTTTTTGGGGTGGATTTCAACAGCTTTGAGGTGGAAAAAGAGAAGTTTTTAGTATGATCAACAAAGGTGAGACAACAAACATAATGCAATTGAACTGAGACAAATACCTGATGAGCAAATCGATTGCTAAGCAGTTTCTCTATGGAAGTGGACTTCATACTTGACTTGCTCACCTGATTTCCATTACCCTAAACCATAAAAAATAGCGGTTGCACTTGGGGAAGGGTTTGCAGCATACAAATAGCCCAGAATACAAATCTAATAAAGGATATCCTTGATTATGAAAATACAGTAACCTCAAGCAATAAGAGCTTAATGTCAATACGACCTAACAATCAAGCAAGAGCAGAGGCGCATGACTATGGCAAGAAAACACAACAAACTTTTTATGACTACTTCAGTTCCCAGGCTTTAAATTTGTTTTTTAGCTTGATGAAACAAAATTTAAAAGTTGAAATAACAGCTTTGTACTTGAGGGGTTGCACTGTTTTGGACCTTCAGTAGTTTTATGACTCTCCTTTCACCTGATAACTTCGTCTATCACCACATTATCAACTCCTATAACAGGATTGTAGACTTAAAGCATGACCCATAACATATATCATTATTCTGCATAGGAACAATGAATTCATCTTAAATTGCTCGTGGTAAAGAGATGGAGATTCAAGGCGAACATTAAAAAGTACTAAGACATTAGCAATGCTTTAATGTTTGAACATTCAAGAAAAATCCTCATCCCCCAAGCTGAATTATGAAATCTAATGATACAACGATCAATAAAAATACAAAACCAGCACCATAAACTTCCACACAGAATGATAACATGAAATTACTAGCCATTAAGCACGTAATTGGAATTGATTGGACCACCAGAAAAGGCATATTGTGAGCTATTTTAAATAGCTTACCAAAATTTCAGAGCCATTAATTTTGCCATGCTTATCTTGACGCAAATGCTGAGCATGACGAGCGCGCACGAGGAGCTGCAATTTAACTATGGCTTGAACACAACGCAGAGATCCTACTGCATGCCTTCGAACCAAATGCCCACGAACAGCAGCTTGCAACTTCACTACGTTCTTAAGCTTTAGCAAGGCTCCCTGAGCCTGAAAGAAACCCAAAAAGAAATACGCATATGAAATACAGCAGTTTCAGCTGTAGCTTGCTAGTGAGATTTTGGAATTGTAGATTTAAAATGAAAACACACCATGAACCCTCTGATGGCAGCTTGAATGGTGATAACCACAGACTCCGGTGGATTGACATCCACCCTACTCTCTGTTTCAGTAACAACTGTTTCAGATAATTGTGAGCTTGCCACAGATAATTGTGAGCTTGCCACAGATAATGGAGGGGGTTTCTCATCAGGGCAATTTGTTGTGTTTCTCTTTTCAGCAATATTTGTCTCAGTTGATGGTTGGAAATTGATACTAGTACATTCTGAGCTCTCCTTGTTTGCTGAAGATGGGGTATCTGTTATTACAGCATTGCTAAGAACACGATGCCTTGCAGACTTTTTTCGGAAACTCCAACCTCGTTTGTCACTTGAATCTTTGATCTGGAAAAATTAAGTAACTAAATCATTGGTGAAAAGACAACTTGATTCCCTACAAATCAGCAAGCTAGAGAGTTTATAAAACTTCAATCTCTTCCTACAGAAAATATGTTCACATGAGCACAATTCATTGTGAACAATGGGCCATTGACTGTCTTCCTAGTTCCATTTTCAAGGAATGAGAATTCCTAGGTTTGACACAAAATTAAGCATTGGACTGATGTTCCAGTTCCAAGCCCTTGATTTCTTAGTGCATAATCGACATTCCTTGCAATGGGGAGAACGTGATGAATTTAGGCAAGCTAAAATTAGCAATGATTTGTTTTTGCTCCCTCAATTAATTTTGATCTCAAAACTACCCTTCATGTCTGTACTGAGAACATGTTTCAAAAAAAAGAATGGAATGGGATACAATTCGATTTCTAATACGACCATACACTAAAATGAGAATGGTCGCTCCATTCCCCCAGTTTCCCAAAAATCAATTTCATGCAACAGCCATGCTCTAAAATTTTATTCATATAATCCACTTTAAAGTTATGCTGATCCCTATATCATAAATGGTTAAGTCTTGTGTCCTTTCATACCATTCAAACTTCCACTTATCCGATAAAATTTCCCCGGGTGCAAGACACAATTATTTGATCCACACGAAAAATGCGCTGCGAAATTTTCTCAAAATCTTGTAAATAATTTATATCCCGCCGGTCCAAAAATAAAAATAAAAATCACCGGGTCCTAAAGATAGGCAACTAATATCAAATGCCTCGAGAAGTTCTAAGATTTTGCGGGCCTATAAATTACGTTGAAACAATAAGATTTGATTTAGGTTTCGGGTCCTCAAGTGGCATTGGAAATAATAGCTTCGATACCCAAACAATCAAATCGCAAATTTTTTTAAAATACATAAAAATGACCTAGACAAATTGAAAGCCAAAATTACCACCAGGTGGAGTCAACAGCTTCCCAACATCAACTTTTAATTTTTAAGTAAGAAAAACCAAGTAAAAAATCATTGATCACCAGTAAGAAAATGAAAAAGAACAAGCCCTTCGTAAATTTCATTTCGTCAAAAACTCGACACAATTCTGGAACTGTAGACTTGGTTGAATTCATATACACAAGAATGGAAATTTCCGTTACTTTTCTTTACTGGTAATTAGGCTGCCCAAACAACGACATTGATGATTCAAGATGCAAGATGGATGGCATGTCATGCAGCAAAATGAGTTAAACACATGAATCCGAAAACACAAACCGAATCCCCCCAGAAACTACTAATTGATCAACGCGGGAAGCAGGAAAGAGGCAAGTTCCGTAATTTACCGCAAGCAACCTCGGATCAGAAGAAGTCAAAGCTAGTAGTTTAAAATAATGAAAGAGCCCAGATTCAATCAGAAAGCTCACCTCAGACGCTTGGTAATTGCCGTTGCCGTCCGCCTCAGTACTGCCGCATGTGATTAATTTGAAGCAGGAAATAGATTTTCCCATGTTTCTCTCTCTATCTCCCTCGCTGTTGGCGTCTCAGTCTTCACACTTCGCACTCTCTTTCTGTGAGAGACAACACTCTCCGTGAGGTCATGGCATTGGAAAATGGCGAGAGCGTCACATACTAACGCAAGCTTCAAAACACGGACCTCAACACACTCCTTAAATCTAGCTAAGCAAGTTACGCTGGTGTCCGCGCTGTGTGTGTTGTGAGTCGGACTGAACGAGGAGTGGTGTGTCGAGTAATCCGTTGAGACTTTTGAGTTTTGACAGTGGAAAGAAAAAGCTATCTTATTTTATTTTAATCTATTTTGCTTAATGCTCCCGCCGTCCTGCCAAATCGATCTGTGTATACATATTATCCTCAAATATTTACATATAATATAGGGCTTGTTTGGAGCTCCGTTCAAAACGGGTTTTTAAGCAAGTTCACGTAAGCTGAGATAAAACTCTTTTCACATACTTACCTCGTATTCCGTAAATCACGTTTGAAAAGCTACTTATAAGTCAATCCAAACAAGCCCATAATAACAAGACAAGAAGTGGGATCATTTATAGAATATAAATGATGTGATTTATCTCGAATTTGTTGAATGGGAAAAACAACCTGAATGCTTGTCCGCATTAACATTTATAAAACTGAAATTTGTACAAACCACATTTTGTAAGGTAAGGTTGGGATAAAAATTACCAAAAAAAATTGTTTTAAATTTGGAGTCACGTTGAAAGAGAGAAACGGCATGTGAAAATTACGCATATATGGATCTAAGAAAAATAGCTCAACAAACTTTTTCATCCAAACAAGAAACGAGCACTCGAGTCTCGCAGATTAGTTGGATTGAAGATCACAATATCGTATCCGCGCACGAGCAATAGCAGATCATCCATCCTGTTTTTATCATCAGCCGTCTATTCAATTCGCCTGTTCCTTTCTTTCTTTCTTTCTTTATTTATTTATTTACCACAGTCATGTTCTCTTCAATTCGTCTTCGGTTGCAGTAAAGGTTGCGTATCAGATTGAGGGTTCCCCTTGCATTGTAATTAAGACTGGGTTGGGCTAGGTGTTTAAAATATGCTTCGATGTCGGGTAACAGTGGTGTTGTTATTTTCTGAGATTTCAATTGATGATGGCGGTAAATCAATGAATGATTAACTGCATGGGGACAAGGACAAAATAAGCGCTGGTAATATTGTAGCCGGCGAGGTCATTGTAAAGTACAACATTAATTGATTGCGTTGGAGATAGGAGTAAGGAGGACCAATGAGGATAAGATGACAATCGCATGATAAAAAGAAATGATTACTCGTAGACAAGTAAATTGTGGCAGCGATTATTTGGGGGGGGGGGTGGTTGATGAAGAAATTTGGAGAGTGGTTGAACTTGAACATAATTTTTTCTAGGGGTGAGTTGGATGAGACGTTAAAATCGATGGATGGGGAGACGAAGGAAGGTAGAGTGGGCGTGTAACATAAAAACAAAGACGGAAGATGGAATCCAAAGACAAGGCAGGTGGAGGCCCCGGATTAAAGATTGTGTGCTGCTTTATAAATGCCCAAAGGAAACCATTGACCAGTTCTCTTTGCGCTTAATGTCTTCTCCCGTACCCTGCATCGTCACGATAACGATCATGGTTTTATTTTTTTGGACTGAGGATAATGATCACGATTTAATCATTCATTTGATGTTACTCCAAATTAATGACTGTATCTGAACCTGGTTCAATGTATTGATGTTTTACCCACCATCTGTATGTATATCAATTAATAATGAATGTGATTTGTGTTATTTAGGCGATCTAAGTGATAAAATAAGGCCTGATTAATGAATGATGAGAGCAAAATGGAATCATTTTGATGAAAATGCATCTATTCAGTGGGGTTCAACTATGTGAATTGTGCCATGTCATCATGCATCTATTTAATCAAGAGCTCCGGGTTAACATCTTTGATGAGCATCCGTCTTGGTTTTCTTAACTTATTTTTCACAGAGCTAAAGCCAAAAAAAGAAAGAAAGGGGGAAAATGCAAGTCGCTTCAAATCAATGCATCCATAGTTCCAGTGGGTGCCCCCAAACACCGATTGGTCAAGCGCACCAACTCCCAAGCAACTTATCTACACGTTTCATTCCCCCTCTGCTCATCATTGTGCACAGCGCGTCGCTGCTCTTCATAAAAAGCAACTGTATATATGGCAATGCAAACGCTCTGTCGAACCATTTCCGGAATGGGCAGTGAAGTAAAGGATCCCTGTCACTCCCTTCATTTTCTTTACCACCTTCAAATCAATCATCAAACCCTGCCTTCCCTAATTCCTCAGCTACAAAAACATATACAAAATTGTCAAAAGATCTGCATCGGATGGCTATAAATAAGTGGATGACAGTTTATACGCTTACAAGCAGCCAAAACTTTGACAGCTATTTTGTCGTGACGTGAAACGTGGACCGAGTAATCAGAAGCCACGTAAGAGCACATGGGAGCTTTGCCCAATAGTTCATAAGGGCATATGCGAAATGAAGGCAGGACTCAGGAGCACATGGGATCTGTCACCTATCCTATGTGCTGTCGTGCGCCACTTTTGAACTGCCCTTCTTTCTTCGCTCCCGTCTTTGATTCATCCACTCTCCAACTACGTACTGCTCACTTCTCTCTACGCACTCCTTCTCCCTGCCATGCGCATGGCACGTCTCTTGCTTTTGTCTCTTTTTAATTCTTCAAATATCTTCATCTAAGTTTTTCCCTTCCTTTTCTTCTTTTGACATCATCATTTCAGCTCAGATTTTCTTTTCCTACTTTATTTTGCAATGATTAATGATTAATGCCAAGTTGACCCAATAACCCGATCATATCATATAAAAAGGCTAGCTAGCTGGTAGCTGAGTCTTGTTAATAAGAAATGCCAATACAGTCGAATATCCGCGGTGTCATTCGGATTAGAGTGATGTATACGTCGAAGACTATTCTAATTTGAAAAATCTGAGATTGCGGCGCACAGATGATTTCAATTTGTAATAGCTATAGTGCAGTATCTGTTATATGCTTTGCCCCAACCCCAAGTAGTCTTGAGAGCAGGAGAAAAAGGGGGTTGGTAGCCTTGGGTTGGGAAAGCTGAAGTGGTGTGCCTTCTTTTTCCACGCTGCGAGTTGGCTTTTGGAATGCCCCTTCCAGGGTAGACATGCGGATGGGCCACCATCGGGACAATTATGATGCACTAATCATAATAAAGCCAGTCTAAGTAAGGATTCCCCCCTCCCATAGAAGCAAAAGAAAAGGACAAAGAAACGCCCGGTGCCGAGGCATAAGGAATCATCCGTCCAATTCTAAACAATTAGAACTTATTTTAAGCTCATCCCAAATGACAACAGAAGCCCAAAACGTTATTCTTGACAAGACACAGGCATGCTGTCTGCAAGAGACTGCCCTGAGCAAGCTTCGCTCTTCTTTACCTTTTTCTTTCTTTGAATTTTCAATGATTTCTATACTCAAGGGGTTAAAGCGAAGGCCAGACACTTTGCAAGATTCCAGTATAAATATATAATATGGTTTTATATGTGGGGATGAGTTATACGAGGTTGCATGGTCCCCAACCCTTATACGATTTTTTTTTTTGGGGGGGGGGGGACAGACGGTGTGTGATGCCACCAGCCAAACTGTTGGTAAAACAAAACACTCGGGAACCCTGCTAAGGAGGGTGGCATGAGCATCTCAAAGGAAGCAAAGCGTCTCAATCATATAAGAAGGGGTACATAAAGAAAAAAAAAATCATTTCAGCAATCAACAGGCATTTAGGTACAACACCACATGACAGGCCACCATTTAAATCTACCATACTAGGCCCTGTGGACCCCTTCTCACATGGCACTCCAAGCACCCCCAGCACACGCACTATTCTCAAATTCCCTCGTTAAAATTAAATATTCCCCAGTAGTGAAAATTGTAATTTCCAGCATTACAAGCGTAACCTGCTGGATAAGAGTAACGCGCACCATATGGAAGCAGCAAGGTTTAAATCTAATAGAAAGCATATGGACCCGGCATCGTTCACATGCAGCGCTGAAGATCCAGCCAATCATTATTAATCACCCGAACATAGAATAAGTTGGAGCAAGCGTGAAGACCCTAACAAACTTCTCAGCATTGGCACGCACAGGCATCTAATGAAAAAGACGTAACTATCGTGTGGCAGTAAATAGTTGCTATGTGGAAGGACAAGTGTGATGGAGTTATGGGGGTTGAGGAGTAATGTGATGGAAGTTCCGTCAATGATGGAATAATGGGACCAAACGGCGGCAGAGAGGTGGTGAATAATGATGGGGGCAGGCAGCCTTTCATTTCGGGGCTCATGATGGATCATGACTGGAGGTTTTAAAGGATCGGAGGCCCAAACGACAGGCGCTACCATGGTCGATTCGTCAACGCACCCCGCGCTATTCCTTGGCCATGAGCCCTTTATTTCTCGCACCATGTCATCCACTTCTATCTATTCCACGGACAGAGCCCATGACAAGTTACTTCCAACTGGGGATTGGCCGATTTACTTGGTTTCATATTTCTTCAACAATCCATCGTCCCTGGGTTCAGCTGGCAAAAAAGTGAGATATATGACCAAGTTGGCATATGTTCGATTTTTGGAGAGTACCATTTTGTTGTGGTTCCAGTCGCGGCGCTTGGAGAGGCATCCTAACTCTTGGGTGCCTAGCTAAACGCCTGAGGGTAATTGACGGCTCGCCCTGCCCAACATTGGTATGACCTAAGAGGAAGGGAGATTTCGCCCTGCTCTTGGATCGTGGGTGAGCCCAACCCCTTTCCAAAAATTTATTTAGCAAAAAAAAAAAAATTTCTTCAACAACAAATAATTCACCAGCCCAGAATAATAAAGGTTTGAAAAGAAGAAAGCACGCTCAAGAACCATGGAAAATGAAATGCAGAGTAAAAGATTTACGAGGCAAAATTTTAACTATAATCTAATGTTAAGCTGGCGAGTTCACCGGCAAATAAATTACACGGTAAATTTCCAGTTTTGATGATAAAAAAACCCACGTCATGACTTTCGCGGTCTTCCTGTCGTACTAGTCTTTACAGAAGATTTAGAACGCTTCTTCACCGCAGGAGGACGACCACGTCCACGACCAGATCCTTTTTCCTCAGCAGCTGATTTCTTGGATGCCTTGCCTCGACCTTTCCCTGAATAATTTCCACCACTGCGTCTTTTGTTTTCTGCCTGAGCATTCGCCTGCTTTTTGCTATCGTCGTCACTTTCTTCCTCCTCAGATTCAGAGGACTCTTCCGAATTCTTCCTCTTAGTGTTGTCGCTTGCATACTTTTTTTATGTGGTCTGCTTCGCCACAGGAGTGTTGCTCTCGGGTGCTTAAACTCCTGCAGCGGATTCAAATCGGCAACCCCAAACCAAGGATAGGTCAAGGAATAACTCAGGACTCTACTCAGGAGCAACCAAAGACAAGCTTGACATATTTTGGCCAATGGGGAAATGTGACATGCATCCGTACACACTTAACCCAATTAGAATTATTACAGCTGCAGACCTTTAGCCGAACCTTAGCCGTCATCCATATCAAGCTGTTGAAAAAGGAGTACACACTGTCAGTTTGCATAGGCAAGCATGATAGTTTCTCAAGGCAAAGGGTAATCCTTAGTGCATCCATGAGATAATAGAAGGTCATGAAATAGATAAAAAGGAACAGATCTGCACAGTTTTGCCAGGAAAATCTTTTACGCATGGAATGAAGAAAGCTAAGCATACCAGCAAAATACAATCAGCACTAGGAAATGTAATTAGTTTCGGTGCTTATCGCAATGACAAGCACCATGATGCTTATTAAATTTTAATTATTCAAATTTAATATGAACGGTCGAGATTTAATATTTAATTTTTTTTTTAAAAAAATATTTTTTTAATAGGTGCATAATCCAAAATAAATATAATCTCTTAACTGTAAATTTTTTAAAAAATAATTTTTTCACTAGTTGAAACTTTTAAATCTAGACTATTAAAACTGTATTTAAATGGTTTAGATTTCACCACAGTAATAAGTATCATAATGCTCATCACCACGATGGGCATTGAAGTGGATTCCATAGAAAATGTCACTTACCACCAACAGAGAGAAGTAGACGCAACCAAATTGCTATGAGTAACAAATTGCTCACCAATGAAGTCAGAGTCCGTTGGCATATGGCAGAATCGGACACCTGTAGCATCTGTGGAAGAGAGAAAGAGGACCTGAATCATGTCCTAAGAAAGTGTGAGCTGGCTGCTACATGTTGGAACCTCATCGTGCCTCCTCAGATTCAGTCACTTCTCAAATCAACCACTCAATGAATGGTTTTGTCAGAATCTCAGCCTCACCCACAGCAATCCTTCTCGGACGGTAGTCTTTGGCTTAATGTGTTGGAAACTTTGGAATGCAAGGAATCGTAAGCTTTTTGAGCAAGAAAACACTAATCCCTATCGAACACTGAAAGGGATCCTAGCACTAAGCGATCATACTGCGCAAGCGAAAGATTTCCTGACTAGAATGCACCTAGGCTGATCTTGTTTTGACTTTGTCCTATTACCTTACCCTGTAACTTTGTAAATACTACCTCCGGTCCTTAATATAAGACCCCGTTTGACTTTTTATTTGGTCCTAATTATAAGACCCCAATCCATTTTATCTCTCATATTTATACATTTTTTTCCAAGATAACCCTTCTAATAATGATAGTTCTAGCCAACACACTTAATTAGCAAAGATATTTTAGGAATGACAACACTTATTTATTACAAATAACTAACTTAACTTACTTCCTTAATCTCCTCAAATAAGTCAACTGGGTCTTATAATTAGGACCGGAGGTAGTAGTTGTTATTAATATAATTCCTCTTTTCACTCAAAAAAAGAGAAGTAGACGCAACAATTTGTAACACAAGGAAGCAAGCATTTTATGTATCGAAACAGAAAATTCACCACTGCCAGTTAATTGACCAAGCATGGCCTTGATTTGAATAAGAGGTTAAATGACTGTTCTAGCTTGTCACATTGCCCGCTAAATGGTGTTTTACCTTCTAACAAATGGTATTTATTATTGATACAACAGCTATAGTGAGACCATCGATAACCCGCCACTTTCTACGACACAGAGCACTAGCATGACCTCTGGATCGGATGGTACATATTTTACAACCAAAGACAACCTTCCGGGACGACAGATGACTCAAACATGATTACATAGTATGTAATGTTACTAACCCTTCCGGCCTTCACTTGCATTGAACAAAGCCTACTTTTAAGAAGAAAATCATCGATTACACTAGCCTCCCAAGAAAAAAGTTATTCTCATAAAATTTGCACTACTGAACCTGAAGCGAGGGCAAGGGAGTGTCCATCATCAAATGACAACCACAGCGAGGCTTCTCCTAGCTCCTGCTTTGATAATTTTGTATCTTCAATATAAAAATCAGTTAACTTTAGAACTGCGAGAAATTACCATAAAAACCTAGCAGGAAAAAATGTAAAAGCGACTTCTAAATTGAATGTGGCTAGGACAAGCACCGCACTAGTTGATAAAAGCCACAACTCGCCTAGAAAGGGCAGACACAACAGTTGCCGCTTCTGTGCAAAAAAATCTCACGAGTTAGTGGCACAGCAAATAAAAATGCAGGTAATTGACTGACTTTCATGAACATATATCGTCTCCAGGTATAGCAACGCCCTTCGACATCCAAGGCCACGCAATGACAAGATGCTACACTGAAAGTAGTGCAAATGTTAGAAGGAGTATAATCATTAGGCAAAAGCTCAATTAAAATCAGCTAATGTGCTGCAAACTTACCACAATCAGAGGCAATGAATCGAATACCGACCCGGACGAGAGGGCGAAGCCGAGTTGGAGAGGCCAAGTTACCTTACCTTGCGAGAGAGCCATTGCGACGGCCAATGATATCCCAACACGTAGCACCCCGGAGCAATAGCTCACCCCCTTTCGCCACCTCCTTCTCTTCCTTAGCCTTTTTCTCCGCTTCGACCGCGGACATCTCCATCAACTGCGCAGAAGTAACGGTAAACAAACATAGGTAAATACACATATATCAGTCGATGTGCCGGATCTAACGGCTACTATTCAAAATCTTACTAATCAACTGCCGTAACTTGAGGGAAATGGTGAATGGCTACTTTGGCGAAGGTCAGGTGAAGAAAGAGTAGAGTTTCAACAAAGGGCGAAGTATATGAGAGAAGAAAAGGAGACTTGGATTTCAGGAGTCCAAAGGGATAATGAACGCACGGAGCTACTGTTTTGGTTTCCGAGGACAAGAAGTAGGAACTTCGATTTTTTCTCTTTGGTGAAATAGGAACTTTGATTATTTAATACAGATAAACTACAATTTTTTAAAAGAAATAATGATTTTAAAATTCGAAATAAAATAAGTAATCTTGTTTTTCAGTTAATACGTCGCTTGCACTTCACAGCTTCTATTGTTTTTTGTTTTGTGGGGGGGGGGGGGCTACAATTCATGTGTTATTTGTAAAATTTTCATTACAGCTTGTTAAATTAAATGAGCCTTGTTACCGCCTTGCCGGAGCCCCTCGTAAGCTAAAATAAAATCAGTTGAGTCAAGTTTAATGAAGAGTTGTTACCGCAAAACAAAATTTAATAGAGTTTCTTTGTTATTGCTTAGCATTTTCTTTCACTTGTTACCCTTTTGTCTGTTGACTCCTTGAAATATGGCAGGCTTTCCCTGTCCCATGGTAAGGTACAAATTCTACGCATGGGTGAATGGGGCCCAAAAAAATTACTGAGTAAATTGTTCTATCCCCCTGTTCTCCAAAAGGAACGAAGGGGAAAAGCCATCGAAAATCTGAATTCCGTTGGCATCCCTCGGACAAAATCACACGGAGGTCCCATATGTCTCAGAAATCAGATCCGGTAACTACCAAGGAATTCAGGAATATTCCTCGGAATTATAAAATCAACATAGATGCAGCTTTTTTGAACAGGAGTATTTGAATAAAAACTGAATCATGATTTTATAATATATAAAATAAATATTGTGCGAACTAAGTATATAAAAATAATTTTGTCAAAACAGTTTTTTCAAATGATTTTGGGAGCATTCCAAACACCCTGTGGGGAACAAAAAAGTCTTTGCTCAGCGATCAAGGAAGAAAAAGTCTCGCACTGGTAAGAAGACTGAAGCTCAAGTCTCATGATAGTGGTGAAAGCTATGGCACCTTAGGAAAAGGCAGAGAGAGCTCAAACTCAATGACTAAAAATGCCAATTGAGTCACACAGCTGGGGTTCTAAAGTAATTCTACCTCCATTTTGGGCAAGCGGGCTTCCTGCTTCCCTCTCAGCTATCTTATATTGTGTTCACTTGTTCTCCCACTCGGGTCCCAAAGAAACAAACTTCAAAACGCCCCTAGATGCCACACCACCAAATGATCGCAACCCTTGGCAGCTCAACAGCAAGCACAAACTGATTTCTACCCACAAAAAAAAAAAAAGCCCAATAGTCCGCTTTCGCCAACACTCGTGCACGTCCACATAGACAGTGCCCTAAGACTATTGCTCTCAAATTTTTTGGTCTCTCTAAATGCGGAACAAATTAACACTGTGAAAAACGGAGTATATAATTGGTCGAAATTACAGTCATGACACGACCACTACTAAAACAAGAAACTATTCCGCGCATATATTTTATAACGGGTGAAGCTTACAAATTAATTAATTAAATAGAGCTGATGTATAGACTAATTAAAATATAAAAAGAAAACTAATGCCACCCATTTCCTAAAGGAACTAAATGTAGTTTTGACTAGAGAACGACCAGCTATCTATGTTCCAGCACATCCAGTTCATTACGTTTGACTCTAGTGCGACTGAGTCTGGGTCTCCCCCTGAGGCTGATTTTGCATTTCTGGACGTTTGAGCTGGCCAGGCTGCTCGTGTTGCAATTGGAACCTTTGTTGATTTATAGCACGTTGGCGAGCTATGCAACCCGAGAGAATAGACTCTCCACCAAGTTCCGTGACTGCAAGCCTCAAACGCTGGACTTCAGCAGTTAAGGTCTCATTCAGAGCTGCTCAAACAGGGACGCAAAACAGTTATTTAAATGAAATACTATCACGCTTTATAAGACATTATAGTATCCTGTTAAATTTAGAAATATAAAAGCAAAGGACCTGCAACTGCAGAAAAAAATTCAGAACAGGAAATAGCAAAATTAACCGGAGCATGCACTTATTCATTGATGCCTTAACTGCCAAGTACGAATTACTACTAGTATAACCCACAGCACATCAGTAGGAGGTCATGTTTCCCCTATTATGAGCAGCTAACGTAGTCCATCTATGAATGAAAACACTTGCCAAAAAAAAATATCACCCTGGAAATCTTGACATGCAGTTTAGAGGGGCTTCTTCAAACCAAACAAGAACTAAAAGTGAAGCTTAAAGGGTAATCAATAGCGTTAGTGAAAGATTCTCTTGGAATCCAAAATTTGCAGGTACTTGACAACATTAAAACAGATATGCCTGTCCCAGGCAAGTGTAAAGAAACAGAAATGGTCATATAGAATGATTAAGTAACATGCCTTAAGGAAGAATACAGTGCATTACAAAATAAGAAGAAAATCAGTACAACCAAAAGTATGCAGAGCTATCCTTACACAAGCTTTGCCATAAAGTAAATATTATGAATGCTTGAAAAAAACAATCAATGTACATCATCCCATACATTTAATTATTTCATGGGAAAGTTCACATAAAAAACATCCAATCTGAGTAGGTAGTGGGATTCAGCAGACCAAAACCAAATAGCAGAAAAAAGGGCATATACAAACCATCTTTCAGCTGGGACTGTTGCTCCATGGCTTGAAGTCGGAATTTCAACTCACTATTCTCGGTTTTAAGCTGTGAGTTATCCCGCTGGCAACAAGCACAAAAACACAGAATCGGGAGTCATGAGCATGATTTATGAAAACTAGCTTCATAAAAACTAAAATATAGTTGAGAAAGTTAAAATGGAAAAGAGAACATAAGCCCATCATAGAAGGTGCCCACCTGCAATTTGGTAAATTGAGTAGACATTGTGGTTGTCTCTGACTGAAGAGTTTGCACCTTGTGCTCCAGTTCAGCAATGTACTGCACCTTCCGCTCCTTGGATCGAGCAGCTGATTGACGATTAGCCAATATTCTGGGAGCATATATAAGAAGCATCATGAGCTATTATAGTTTTAAATCTTAATCTTAATGCGAGGAGATTAAAAAAGGTGAGGGGAAAAGCACAAGAAATATAATACCTTTTTGCACGCTTGGGATCTGACAAAGCAATCTCAGCAAGTTTATCGTTTTCCATTATTTTTTTTAGCTCCAGTTCAGTGAATTCACCATTTCTCAACTCCATGTTGATTTCAGATGTTTTACCATCTCCCGAATTGCTAGGTGAGCGCTGACCAACTCCATTCCCCAATGGAGGAAGTTTCGGTGATTCATCTCCAATGTGCAAATTCCCTATAGAACTATCCAAGGAAAAACTTCTCCGATGTCGAGAACCTGGTGCAATATCCCCATTAGAACTCCTCTTGATTCCTTCCCTCCTTTCCTCCACAAAGCCCGAAGTTGCCCCTTGCGTAGAGGTTGTTTTTCCACTTACGAGACTCTCAGCTTCATTATCACTGCTTTCAAAAGTCTTCGATTCTTCCGCACCAGATACGTTCAAACTATCAAAGTTGTCCAAATTCATATACACGCTAATTAAATCATCCATCACATCCTCTTTCCTCTCACCTAAAGGTTTTGCATTGTAACGATCAACTTGACCCTCGTCCTTTTTTGGCTCCTTTTTTACCAACTGAATTGGCTTCTGCAATCCCGAGCTCTCTCCTCTAGAAATTGAACTGTCCAAATTCATCCAGGCAGGAGAGGGAAGCAACTGAGGAGAAGATTGAATGAAGCCAGAGATTCCTAACGGAGTATCACTGCAGGAGCGCCTGTGCCCTTTACGAGGAAGAACACTAGGACCAGCCTGAAAGGTGTGATCCCTATTGACGGGCATAGAAATGCCGGGGCCATGAGAGTTAACCACACTTTCTTCCATGGACACGTCTGTGGAAATCGAGTTAGAAAGAGGGGTTGCCGAGGGCTCACAATAAAGGGAAGGACTCAATGGAGGCAAGCAATCCGGGGAAAAAAATGATTGTTGAGACAAAGACCGTGAATGGGAAGAGCGCGGTCTCATATTCGGGGAACGTAATTGCTGGGAAGCTGATTGGAACTCTGAAATTGGGGAATAATGCGGAGACGTTGGGATATTAGGGTGGGATGGAGGTATACCAGGTTTCAGATTCTCAGGACTCAAGTTTTGTTGCATCAGAAACGCAGGCGCACCCATTTGAGAGGCACTGAAATTGGGACCGGGAGCACCGAATCGGTTCTGTGGCCTCGGAGTAGCACCCGAGGAGGAAACAAATGCGGAACTGATTCGCTGCATACCCGTACTGCCGGCGTCGATGCTTTGATTACCTTCCATTGACTTACAGGGTCTATATTCGAAAGTATTCATATATCAGAAGAAGTTCAGAGTGGGCAACAATAGCCGAATTGCAACTAATTGACAGTCATATAAGTGGCTTAGATTCTCTACCTGATTAATATATCGAAGCCCTATCTCGTAGCAGCAAAAATCGAAAAGCCCGGGGTAGAGTGCACGAGCAAGATGACCACCCAGAAGGGAGACTCGTACATTCAAAACCGGCAAGGCAAAATCCGCGGGGGAAGTGGCGGCCAGCGATAACAGAGCTGTGCAGGGCAACAGAGCTGAACTCTCACTTAAGAAATGTCGCTGAAGGCCGTCTACGGAGGCTCCGGCTCAGATACTTTGGAGTTTGGACGATGAAGATTGAGTCTTTAGTTTTGACCAATGCGTAACTCCTCTCTATAAATACTTCCCCAGCAGTGTCATTGCATTGGGACGCGGTTTTATATATTCCTTTATCTCCGCCTTTCGTAAGGGAAGATTCTACCTAATATTATTGTATCTACTATTTGCATTTTTATTCGTCTCCACGAGGAATGCACTTAAAAAAATGCCCACATGGCCTCTCCCGACGATGAAAACAAATATTTTAAGATTTCCTCTCAATCAAAGTCCGCATCAAATTTAGATTTTACCCTCACAATCATATGACCATGTAATGGCATTTTATTTAATGCTGTGTCTTTGATATTTGAACCCTGTGCAATGTATCAATACGAATTTTCTTTGGATTGGCTCTAAACGAAATACTAATTTCCTTTCTCATATGTCGATCTGCGCAGGGATGAATTAGCAAACTGTAGTTGGTTTCTTCCCCGTCTAGCAGACTATGAAAGGAGCGCGTCTGGAGATGTGGGTCTCGTCACCTATGCTCTTTTAGGCCCAAACATGATTGTATTAGCTAGCTTTTTTTTTTCATATATTCCCGCCATTGCGTGTTTATAGTATTTAATATATTAAATGTATATTTTGAAGATAGGTGAACGTTGATATCAGGTCAAAAAAGTTCTTGATAAAATTAATTATAGATTACAAGAAAATATAGATTTTCTTGCAAAAATTTCTCATATGATTATAGTTCGTGATAACTCCTCATGAAATTTTATTCACAATATTAAGGTGGCATTCAGTTTCAATTATTTTATGTATGCGTACATATAAGAAGAATTTTATCTAGTAAAGTATGGAAGTAATTTTTGTTGATCTTTCTGATATACACCTACTAAATGTCAGAGAATTTTTTCAGAGAAGTTCCACGATCATGGAAACATGCGTGATTAGACTAGAGTTTGGTGCTATCTTTCGTGGGTCTTTATTTCCCATGAAAATGACTCAAGATAATAGATTGAAGAAGAAGAAAAAATAGTTGAGATTTTATAGTCCAGTTAAAAATATAGTAACCAGGTATGGAGAAGTTTGAACTCTTTGTGACAAATATAATTGGCATGTTATGATTATAAAAAAAAAAAAAAAAAAAGAAACATAAAGAAGCAGAATGAGCAATGGAGCATGAAAATTTTTTCTTGCAGCCTCTCAATCGTTATTTCTCACGGATCCGGTAGTAATGAGAATGCTTTAATTTGCAAATCACGTGGATATGAGAAATCTCCACAGTTTTCCTTCACTTTTCACCAAGTAGTGCAGTTGCCCTAAATTTCAAGACTTAGTAATCCTTCGTCAATTTCTTGACACTTATATTTATTAAGTCAGATTAATCCGTGAGAATTTCTCAAAATAATAAAATTTAAAAAATGTGTAAATAATTTAACCAGGTCTCAAAAATCAGTGATCTATCATGGATTCAACTTTCAAGCACAAATTACTGTCTCCAAGTAGCTACACTTGTTCACTGTTTATACTGGTTAGGCTAACACTTAACTAGCGTTATTCGGTAGCTAGGTTTCAATATCTAAATTGCGATTTGTGGACAATGCAAACTCCTCCTGAACTTAGCCTCTCTTTTTTTTCGGGGGAGGGGGGGATCTCACATCAATACCCACGCATTATTTCACGGGACATGTAGTCCTGTTTCTGTTTCTTCCAAGGGTTCTCCTTGATTTTTGTTTATTTAATGCATTTCCACGTACTCAACAAGATTCAAGAGCTTAGGATAAATTGTCGGAAAGCTTTTAATAAACAACTGCCTGTGGTGTTCGTTGCATGCTACTCCCCCTGTTCTTTATTACAAGAGACGAATAACCGAATTACGTTGATAAAAAAAACAGTTTAAATTAGTTAAGAACAATCAATGTGTAAAATATATAATTTTTTTTTCAAAAAGACCCTCATTAATAAAGAGAGAGAGCATAATAGAGAACAATGGTAAATTATTCAAAGAAAGAGAAGTGGGAAGAAAAGAGCGTGTGAGTTGGAGACAATAAATATGGATAAAATAGAAAATTAACACAAAAAAATAGAAACAACTTTTAAGTGTCTCTTATATATAGGAACATGCCATAAGCATCAAATGTCTCTTATAACAAGGAACAGAGGGAGTATCTAATTTAGATTGAAGTAAAGAGAATATCCATATCCTTAAACATGTCTCTAATTCCTGCAACTGCTTATTGTTAAAAAAAAATGTAGTTGTATGGTTAGAGTAATTTGAAATTCGTTCATCGTAGCGTATATGTGCTATTAATTAATCATTAACTCTGTTTTTTATTTTCTCGTACACATAAATGGCTTAACATTTTATAGATGAATTAAGTTGAGGCTTAAATAGCTTTTAAAAAAAAACTATACTGGGAGATCTAACAAGCTTAATTAACAGTACTTAAAACAGGACTGGTCAATACCGGTAGTATGAAATACAAGATGATTGCTGAAAAAACAAAGCTTTGCGAATTCTCTTGAAAAAAATCGTGCGGTTCACGATATAATATTAAATTATTCGTTAAATATATACGTGTTTTTACAACTCACAAATAAAGTCACTAGCTATTTCACCTCGGTTTTCTAATAAAAATTTGACGAGTAAGCCATTGTCTTCATCTTCGTCGCCGCTACTCTTCTCGTCTATACTTCCAAATTTGGCAGCAAATATAATTATGAAGAAAGCCAGAATTTCATTAAAAAGCCAAGTCAGATCTGACCGGGAAACCAGATTTTAGATTTTTTATACACTGGGCTAGCAAATGCTGACTCAAACGAAACCCCTTGGGCTTCCGCGTCCACCGAACTCCACGCGGCCCACTGTTCTGAATGACGACGAAGCATCCCACGCCCAGCGCCGCTCTCTCCCTCTCTCTGCTGCTCGTGTAGATCGGTCCATCCCTCGCCAATTTTCTTCGAGTTTGGACCCCACTCATTATTCACATGACTTAACCTGTTTAATTTCGAGCAAAAAATATACTTTTCCGATTCTTAATATAAGACCTATTTAACTAATTTAATTAGATTAAGAAAGTTAGGTAAGTTAGTTAATTATAAGAAATGTGACACGTTTTTTCTAAGATACCATAATCATCTTTCTTAATACCCCTTCTTCCTCTTCTACTTGATCATGGTTGAGGAAGTATCCATAGGGGTAATTTAGAAAAAAATTGATAAATATAAGAAATGAGTCTTATGTTTAAAACCAAAACCAACTTAACAATTAGCTCTTATATTAAGTACTAAAAGAGTAATAAATGATATAAAATGTCGCTGTCACCAGGAAATTAGGTAATTAACTTGAAGCTGGCCATTTTCATGTAATTGTAACTCGAAGAAAATTAGTGCTTGGCCTGAAATTAGCTCAACTTAGACACCGACATGCATCTCCAAAAAACCCCGTAACAGGGACTGGAAGACTAAAGAATACAGAATATATCTACGGATCATGAAAAATTACTCCTCCGGTCCTTAATATAAGACCCATTTAACTAATTTGATTAAATTAGGGAAGTTAGGTAAGTTAGTTAATTATAAGAAATGTGACACGTTTTTCCTAAAACACCATAATCATCTTTCTTAATACCTTCTTTCCCCTTCTACTTGATTATGGTTGATAGAGTATTCATATGGGTAATTTAGAGAATATTGATAAATATGAGAAATGGGTATTATATTTAGGACCAAAACCAACTCAACAATTGGGTCCTACATTAAGGACCGGAGGAGTATTATGTAACTCCTGATAATATAATATAACTTGTATGCATATTATCTTAATTATTGATTATTGATAACTGCACGATTGGTAAAATATGAATGCATGTTGCCATAATTAAATCTCGTTTGGTGGCATTGTACACTTCCTTCTGTCATTTTTATAAGAGCCTGAAATTTGAATTGTATTAATTTTTTTTATAAGAATCCTACTTTGTGGTTATCTGAACATTTAAAGTGTTTTTACATATTGCATTAATTAAAAGGTTGGCAAACTAGCATACTACATTTTTTTTCATCTTTTCTCACTCTTATTTGCTTTTTATAAATAAAATATGCTTGGAAGAAAAAAAGTCAGCTTCTTACATATTTATTACTTTTAATTTTTTTTTAAACCGTGTAATTTAGTTAGAATGAGGGGTATTATTTTACAAACCAACTTAATGGTTTTATTTTGAACTTCACAGGGGATGATGCCTTTTTTGAATTGTAATATTGGTGGGGAAAATGACCAACTATTAAACAAAAAATTGTAAAAAAAAAAAAGATATGAAAGTGATCATCCGACAAATTCAAGGATTCAATCTTAAAGGGAAAAAAATTATATTTATTTTCATAGATAACTACTCCAAAATTGGAAGGAAAAAAAATATAGTTGTTCTCACAATGTTTAAATTTTACTGAAACTTGTAATAAAGATCAGAGAGACAAATAAACATTTTCATAGAAACCACTGGTGCAGAGAGAGAAAAAATAGACGGGAGCTCAGCCGTAGTGATCGCAATTTATGAATATAATTTCACATTTGACAGGAGTATTTATATTTAGTTCGAAGCAGGTGCCGAATAACCACGATGAGTTTAAACGATTCTACTCCATTCCTTTCCGAGTCCCGTATGCAAACAGAACTGCGGGAATCGGGATAACATCATAACACGGGGCGCTTGTGGGGGCCAGGCGGGCCTTCCATTGCCCTCTTCGTAGTACGTATTCCTTCGAATCATTTATTACCCTTTATTAAGCAACCTCCACTGTGCTTACTGACAAACTGCAACTTGTTTACACAGTGTTATGTGCGAACCTGTGATGTACAAGTCCTCTGTCTCTAATTATTTTCCAGATCGAGCTAGAAAAGGTAAGAACATACCATGTATATTACTATTTGTGATGGAAAAGCGCATCGTATATTCAAAAGAGAAGAAAAACAACACACACAGAACGGTTCAATCTCCTCCTCTACATGAGAGGAAGCAGTTGCAAAAATTCTTGAATATACCTTCTCCTGATCTTGCTAATCGATT